TGTTCTGGGCATGCAGTTGCAAACCTTTGATGACTTCCTCAGTGACTTCGCTTACTGGTTAGTGTAAGTGTGAATGTTAGGTTAACCAGTTTGGCTCCTTACCAAGAGAGAAACCTAGAGAGAAACTCTAGTCAGGAAGATATAAGGTTAAAACCTCTGCCTCTTAAGAGAAGGTCACAGATAATTCACCCTAATTCCAGATGAAGGTTTCCTTTCAGAAATACCTTAAGGATAATTTTTATCTCATGAGATTGTCCTGATAATTAAATTTTACCTGGAATAGGGTTGATGCCATTAGATGATTCCTATTATAGTAAAAATGTTTGTGATAAAGCAATGATTGAAAAGTTCATGATGTAAAATTGCATATGTATTACAATGATAGCTATGCAAATTATACACAATAAGACTATGGAAAAAAATATTCCAAAATGTCAAAACTTGCGTATGTTGGGTGGCTTTGGTGTTGGGTGGCTTTGGTGTGTGGGTAATCATTTCCTTTTCTAGTTTTCTAAATTTTATTTAATGGGTGACTCTATTAGCCAGGGCCCTGGCAGGAAACAGATGGCACATTCAAACTGGGCATTGCGAGGATGCTTTATTAAAGGGACATTTTACAAAGGTATGGGCAGAGCTCAGTAACAGAATCATTGAAGGTGCAGTTCTCAAATGTGTTGATAGTGGGTGCCATTACACCCCACATTTGCAGGGCAAGGGGATGGAGGTGCTATGGAACCTGGGAGAGAGCTGCGTGGGTGGGCCATCTGACAGCCACTATGGCCCATGGCCACTGTCAGGGAGAGAGTTGGGGAGGAAAAGCCTGACCTCACTCTCCACCATTCTCTGGTCCCTTGCTGGTGCCTCCCATTGACCAAACCCAACCAGAAGCCAAAGTTCAAGGGACCCTAAAGAGAGTTCCATATGTATCAGCTTCATGGGCACTGAGCAGGGTGGAGAAGGATGGGGAGAGGTCTGGAGGGCAAACTGACAATGTCCAGCACACAAGGCTATGTCACTTTTATAATTGCAGGAAAAGTCATAAGAAACAAAACCCTTTGCTTTGCTCAGTGCTTTCACACCTGCATACACTTCCCTTTCTCCTCCCAGCTCAGTGACTTTGGATTCTTCATAACTGTGCCTCTTTTGGACCCCCACAGTACCCAATGCTTCCCCCTAGTGCACCCACACTCACCGTGTGGTTTATTCTGCATCCTTGACTTAACTGACCCCGCCCCCCCCCCCCCCCCTTACAAGACCCTGAGGGCTGGGGATGGTGTTTTGTTTTGTTTTTTAAAATTTTGTTTTATTGCTGAAAAAATTACAAAGAGTATTATATATGTCTACTTTTCTTTCTCCCCTTGAGTTTCCCCTGGCCTCCATACCCCCCAGTGTCTTGTGTCCACTGATTATGCTTATATGCATGCATACAAGTCCTTCAGTTGATCTCTCTTTTTTTTTTTTAAATATATTTTATTGATTTTTCACAGAGAGGAAGGGAGAAAGATAGAGAGAGTTAGAAACATCGATGGGAGAGAAACATCGATCAGCTGCCTCTTGCACATCCCCCACCGGGGATGTGCCCACAACCCAGGTACATGCCCTTGACCGGAATCGAACCCGGGACCTTTCAGTCCGCAGGCTGACGCTCTATCCACTGAGCCAAACCAGTTTCGGCCCTTCAGTTGATTTCTTACCCACCCTCCCAACCCTCCCCAGCCTTCCCACTGTAGTTTGACAGTCTGTTTGATGTTGCTGTGCCTCTGTATCTATTTTTTTTTTATTAGTTAAGGTATTACAAATGTGTCACTTCAAAACCCCAGTATCTAGCACAGGAATGAATGAACAATTGGAGTTAAGGTCTATATCTATACTAGTATATATAAAAGCCTAAATGACTGTTATGACGGAACAACAGGTCGCTATGATGTGCACTGACCACCAGGCGGCAAACACTCAATGCAGGAGCTTCCCCCAGCCCGCAGGCCCCAGTGTCAAGGCTGGGATGAGGAACCAGGGGTAGGTGGCAGCGGACACGGCCCCATTCCCAGGGGGGTCGAGGGCCAGCTCCCTCCTTGGGGCCGGTGGCCAACTCCCTGGTCTCTCCCTCGTACCCTCCCCCTTCCTCCCCGCCGCTGGCAGATCCCAATCAGCCCACCACCCACCTGCCCTGGTGGTGGTTGGCCCCTCCCCTGAGCCAGCAGGTTCTGATCACCCAATTGGGGTGGGGCCCTGGGCTGGGATGGGGAACAAGGGGTGGGAGGCTGCAGACGCTGGTAGCAAGGGAAGGAGGAGGGGGTGGGATGGGGTGGTAGGGAGATGGGAAACCTGATCAGCCCTGATCACCGGCCAGGCCTAGGGACCCCACCCATGCATGAATTTCATGCACCAGGCCTCTAGTATCTCTATAAAGCTTATAGATGTGAAGTAAGGCCTGAAGCTACCTAGTCTTAACTGCAAGTGAATTCCTGAGGAATTTAGGCACTCTGCTTAGGGAAGTGAGGCCTTGGTCCTCTTTCCTAGGTGTCTGTCTATTCAGGGAGAGCAGGCCTATGAGCTGGCTGGGCCAGTCAGTCCTCAGAGGAGTATGAGCAGAACCCTCACTGACAGGCAGCTCCCACGTCATGGCGGTCTCGCAGAGCCTTCTCTTGCCCTCCAGTCCCTGTGATTTCCCATGTCAAATCACAATTCACATGTTTTAGGACGGCAAGTTGAGATTATGCTTGCTTCCTTTACAACTCAAGGGGATTTCGAGCATGTCACTATACCTGGTATTTCGACTCTGTTTTGAATCAGAGGATGTTTTGAGCCCTCAAAGGATTTTTACATTCCTTTTACAATCTTATAAAAGTAACAAGTACATGCACTAAATCAAATAGCTCAGGAGGAAAGTATGTTTGGAAGGATATTACATGAAAAATACAATGTCTCAACCTTCACCTATATTCTCACTCCCACTTTTAACTCTTTCAGTTTTTCAGTCTTCTAGTCATTGTTTTGTTAATAAATAATTCTCTTAACTTCTGTTTCTTGATTTATAAAGTTTAGGCAGGAGTTATTGAATTGTCCCTGTGTGAGATGAGGAATTTATCTTACTGACAGCAATCCTTCTGCTGTTCTTATGATTCTTCCAGTTCTTGTTATTTTAAATTTGGTTTCACACTCAATTCCCTGCATAATTTTATGCCATAGACTTATACTTGCATTCCTTGATCTCTCCACTTGCAGGTCTCACAAGCAGCTTCAATTCCATGTGTTTTAAGTCGAATCCATTCCTGCAAAGCTTTCTCCTTCCCTAGTCTCTCTATCAGAGTGAATAGCACCACTCTTTGACCCAGCTGCCCAAGCCAAGAACCTTAGTTCCTTACTGTCCTCAAATCCTTTCCTCCCCATTAATTACTTATCAAGGCTATTTCTTAAGTGATTGTCAAGTCCATCCACTCTATTAGGTCATCGTCTGTGATTGTGATTTATTGTAATAGTTTTCAAGCTGATTTTTCCGATTCTAGCCTCCCTCCTTCTCCTCATCCTAAACCCTATTTATTCTTACCAGTTAGAGGGATATTAAAAAAACTTGATAGTGGTACTCCTCTTTAATAATAACAATAACAACAACAATAATGATAACAACCCACCCTTTAGCAACTCTCCATTAGGATGACTGAAGTCCATGATCTTTACTAAGGATTATAGGGGCCCCCGTGCTCTCCCAGTGCTGACTAGAGCCTTTTCTGGCCATGCCACTCCACAAACTCTCCTTTTCTGGCAAACAGAACTTGTTGATGGACACTGTATTCTTTTTCACCCAGGGGTCCCTGTTCATGCTATTTGCTCCTCCTGCAAAACTCTTAGGCCCCCCCCCTTTTTTTTTTTGTCTAAGTCTTATATCTCCTTCAGTATTTAACTGAGACGTTAAAGCTCAGGTAGGCCATCCCTGATGCCTCAAAGCTAGATGCCTATCCTATGCAGACGTATTACCCTCTACTTCTCACTATAGTAGCATTTGTCTTACTTATTGTAACTTCCTGTCTTTATCTGTCTTCTCCCTTGCACTAGGATGGCATGACTGTAGGGCCAGGAGGAGGGACTGTGTTTTTCTTCACCATTGGTGCCTAGCACTATGCCCAGAACAGACATTGAGCACAATGGTTGTTGAATGATCTTGAATTCCCCTTCAGAATTCCTGTGAGTAGTTTGCGAGTCAATCCTAGGTTGGCATTCAGTAAAATAAAGGAGAGAATGGTTGGCATGGAGAATAAAGGCATTCAGCCTGAACACTATTGCTTTTTCTCAGAATCTAGTTTTAAGATTGGGGCTGAAGAGAAAGTCCTTATAGAAGGGGCTCTCAGGGATAGGGCTATTTGGGAAAGCTATCATCACATGGTAGAGTGACCCTATTTGTTTGACAAATCTTGATTTCTTGGGGTCTTGTTTCTGCCAGATCTGGGTTTCAGAAGTAAAGGAGCTGGTGTAGGATCATAGATGTTAGTATAAATGTTCATGCCTGTGTTCCACGCTGATCAGATGTGAGAAAACAAACATGTAATTAGTTTTGATTTTGCAACCCACAGCTATGGACCACTTGATTCCCTATTCCTTCCTCTCCCATTTACACAATGGCCGCTTGTCTGCCATCTTCAGGCCTCACTTCAATAGTTCCGCTGCTTGGATCTTATTGTCTTAGTACTCTATGCTTGGTCTGAATTTTAGAGACTGGGCTTATTCTGCCTCTTGTTCCGAATTCAACCTCCCACTTATCCCTAGACTCTCCAGGAATATTTCCCTCCTTTGGTCATGCCTGTGCCCAAAGTTCCTACTTTATTCACAGTGGTGGTCACTTCTTCTGACCTGTCCACACCAATAAGCTCCCAAGGCCCCTCACCTCCGTTTCAACTCTTCTAGACCCATTGATATTGTCCTTGGAGAGAGGAATCTCAGGGCAGGCTGTATGATCTCTACTTCCCAGAGCTCTCTGAGGATCTGCTACTTGTCGTTGTCTCAAGGATGAAGATGGATGACTGGTGCCACCCAGTAATTTTCCCAGATGCGCGGAACTTCCGCCCCTTCACTTCTGATTCTCTGGCTGCAATTGAGAAGCGGATTGCCATCCAAAAGGAAAAAAAGAAGCTCAAAGACAAGACAGCGGCAGAACCCCAACCTCGACCTCAGCTTGACTTAAAGGCCTCCAGGAAGTTGCCCAAGCTCTATGGTGACATTCCCCGTGAACTGATAGCAAAGCCCCTGGAAGACTTGGACCCATTCTACAGAGATCATAAGGTAGTTCCATGGGGAGCCTGGGGTGTTCTAACCATGCAGTTGTAACTGGTGTTACAAGGAACTCCAAACACCAATCTTGGGGTTTGTAGGGAGCAAGCTGTACTTATCCTTTGCTATCACCCCCTATTATTGCCTTCACAACCCAGAGAACTCCTTTCAGTCCCCCTTTTCTCTGTGTAATGTGTGTCTTGGAGAAGAACATGAAGACTAGGAGCAGCAGAAAGGTTAAAATTGGAACAGATTAAAATGTCAGGACAGGGGACTGGACTAGCGGTTAGCAAAGTTGGGTGTGGGCCATTTCAGTGATTGGCTTTATGACTGGGTAAATCACTTCACTGATCCCCATTTTTAATCTGTAAAGTGGGAATAATGCCTGCTTTCTCTACCCTACAGCATAGACACGCTATGGAAGCACCTTATAAACTGTAAAGCATACCCATGTGAAGGATTAATATTGCTGTCTAAGACTGTCCACTTCAGCAACAAGAGTTTACTTTGAAAACTTTTTAGAGTTTACTTTTTAGTGTTAACCTTATGAAGGTGAAAGCCTTAAACCAAAACTTGACATATAATCAGAGTTCAATAGGTGAAGTCTAAGAATACGTAATGGAGTGGACACATGCAGATTATACAGGTTATCTACCAAAAATGTTTACATAGTTTTTTCTGATAGCTCAATTGATGTTTCTTTTCAGATGTAACCCATTGCAATTAATTATTCAGAGTGTATATACATTTTTGGGGGGACACCCTATATATAAACCCCATGCCAATATGTGATAGGCTTGCTGTTTCATCTACCTGGATGTAGCTCTTGCAGGAAAATTCTAGTAAAAGTTCCTTAAGAGGGTTCCCAGGTGAGGAAATGTGAATTTTGGACTCCTCTGCTGGCTGTTTGAAAGCCTGGGTGGGCAGTAAGGACAGTTCTCAGCAGACCATCCCTTTCGGGAAAGTGCCAGAAGACCTTGCCATTATCACCTCACTGTGGGATCCAAGGAAGTGTGGAAAACCCACCTCACAGACTGAGGTCAGGGAGGAAGGAGGCTGGGGAGTTTGAGGGAAGTCCTAGAAAACACATGATGCTGAGAGCATCCTCCACTAGCAACCAAGAGAATGTCATCTCTCAGAAGAAATATTGCCTGGTTCATATGTCCTTGGGATAGACTTAGGTTTACCAGGCAAAATGAGGACTGTGTGTACAGAGGAAAGTAGGGTATAAATGGAAAAAAGAAAGAGGAAGATAAATGAAGGAGCAAAACAGTCTAATATTTCTCCTTCTCCTTATGCCCCTGAATTCAGGGGCTTCTTGAAGGCAGAGTTGTTGGATGTGAGTTAACTGCCTCCTTCTGCCTCAAGGACGGATAGGAGACCCATGAGGCAGGCAGCAGCTTGGTGGGTTGTGGACAGTCCTAGAGGGCAGGCTCTGTTCTAGCCTGAATGGATGTTCTGGAAGTGTCTCTTCTCAGCCTTGGTCCTCCCTTCAAATCAGAAGACATGATCCTTGTTTAGAGCTCTGCAGAACGGTGACCTCACATGACCAGTGCTCTAGCAGTCATGTGTGGTTTGTGTAGTAGTCATTAACATGCCACCTTACAGGTGAGGAGACCATAGACCAAATGGGGAAGTGGCTTATGCCAGGTCAAACGGCCAGTGAAGGGTGGAGCTGGGACTCAAATCCAAGGGCTTTTTCCATGGTCACAGGCCACTTCCTTTCTAGGAGTTTCTATTTTGAAGAGCTACAGGGCAAGGGGTGGAGATGTGTCAGCAAGCAGGCAGAAGGAGTCAGTATATATCATTTTAATCATTAAAACCCTGGCAAGTGTAGTTAAATACACCATTAGTTGAAATACTTAAAGTAGTCAGAGGAGACATTAATAAAATATCAAAATCAAAGGGCACAGACACAGAGCCATATTATGCCACCTACTAATTTGGGGTGACTTCCCTCAAGGATAGGTTTGCTCTCTACCCTGAAATTGTCTTTCTATCCAAAGGACGGGCACAGAATCCCCAAGTGGGTCTGGCGCTCCTGAGCTCATTCATAACTTTTCAAGAACCCTGCGTCCCATTTCATTTTGTTTTAGAGGAAACAGAAAATGCCACATGGTCAGCAGACAAGTGAGTTCCAGCAACTTGGTGAAATAGCTGAAGTTCTGGTACTTCAGCCAAGGCACCCCTGCCCTGCTGTCTTGGGCCTTGGTGACAAGGCCTGTCTTTCTTGTCTGAGAACATGCTGGATTACCTGTCAAATATGAGCAGGGCAGTGACATGGGGAGACAAGAATGACCTTCATTCTGTGAATACTTTTATAACTAACAGCCTTAAGGACACATAAAGGAACAGCTAGATTACAATTCAATGGAAAGAGGGAGATCTGGTGTTGATGTTAGAAACCTTTGAGTAAAGCTTGTTGTCCAGGGGCTGCTTTATTCCCAGAGCCCAGGGAGCTGTGCCAGGAGGAAATGGGTACAGGTTTGGTATTCTGTAGTGGGGCCCAACTGGAGGCTGTGAGGGGGACAGGGTACCACGGGGCAGGTCTGTGGGTTTGGCATCCCACTAAAGGCCAGTGGGCCCCCCCCCCCACCGTCATTGTGACAGACAACCAGAAACAGCCCCATGCCTTTCCAGGTGCCTTCTGTGGGGCTTCCCCTGCCAGTTGAGAACCACAGGCAGATTTGTCCCTATGTCCATGGAGGGAATTGAAGAACAAGTCTGGGAACCTTGATGTGTTTCTTTACTGAAGATTCTCAAGGTTAGAATTGATTGGCAGACTATCTCATGTCAAACTGCTCAAGCATAACAATATGGACTCTCTAGGTCCCTGACTATTCTAAAATTCATTACAAAGTTTTTATTAGGAATCAAAATAATTTAAAATAATCTGCTTAATGTGAATGCTCAATTCTGTTTCCATCTCTTGCAGTCTTCTTCTAATTCTTGTCGCTGTAGATACATGTCCTAGAGCAGCGGTTGCCAACCTTTCGGACCTCACGGACCATGACTGGTCTGCGGACCACCGGTTGGCGACCGCTGCTCCAAAAATTTCCTTAAACCAGCGGTCGCCAACCTTTTGGACTTCACAGACCACCAGTTATAATAATAAGCTAAGCTATACCTCAATCCATGGTTCCACTGAATTTTCTCGAAACGAACTCATGATAAATATTGTTTTGTCACAGCTTTGTAATTCCTGTTGTGTTTGGTCTTTTGCAGACATTTATGGTGTTGAACAAAAAGAGAACAATCTACCGCTTCAGTGCCAAACGTGCCTTGTTCATTTTGGGCCCTTTCAATTCAGTCCGAAGCTTAGCCATTAGAATCTCAGTCCATTCATATCCTTTCGTTGCATCTTCTATGAAGTCCAGGTCAAGTGAAAAGTGCATGCGCCCCAGGGTGTTCACATGTTTCTTGAGTGGAAACAGCTCATTCTGTCAATAAATCCTGGCCGAGGGCAGGAGTGTGCTAGTGTTGGGTGTGACCAAGGCATGGCCCCTGCCCTGGGAAGGAGCTGGGCCAAAGGCAGTCCATTTCTTTAGTGAGATGGGTGGTTGGAAGTGGTGGTGTGGAGAGGCACTGCTGCGCTTTGGAGGCACCAAGGATGACCTCCTGGAGAAAGGAACGTCTCAGTTGAGACCCAAACAAAGGTTGTAAACTGTCAACCTGTGCATCATACTTAGCTGATGAGCATGTTGCACCTACACAATGTTTAAAACTTCTCAGAAACACTCTCTAATGTTAAATGCCCAGGTTTCCAGCTTCTTGTGGACAATGGAACCTGTCAAGGCTGGGCTTGCATTCCCATCTGTCAAAGTCATTGTAGTGAGAAACTGGGGTCTCTTTTAGAGGGGATGTGTGCACTCTATTTCACCACATGTTCAACCCTCCCTGCGGCCCAACATCAGCCCATTTCACCTAGTTATGTGACTTGCCAGGCTCCGGAGACTGAGTTTGCACCATCAGTCTTAAGGATAAAGACAGGTAGGAATCATTGGCATTACTGATGTGTGCATGGGTGGTGGAGATGCTAGGCAGTTTTAGACTAGGGGCGGTGTAAGAAACATGGATTGGTAGACAGAATGCAGTGCTGAAGAGAAAGAGAAGGAATAACTCTTTAGGTTGGCTTCCCTAGAAGCAGAGCCTGAGACAGGGATTTTTACTCAGGTGTTTTAGTAGAGGAATGTTCTCTGGAGAAGGAGAAAGGGAAGCAGGATGGAGCAAAAGGAGTCAAATAAGGACGGGGTCTCAGCTGAGTTTGAGAGCTCTGGGCACAAATTGTACCCTAGAACTGCTACGCCTGGAGGCAAGGCCCAGCTTTTTGTGAGTCTCAAGTCAGTCAGACATGTGGAAGGGGGTTGTAGCCCTCCATGTGCGGAGGCTGCCATTCCCCTAAGGAAGGGGATGGATAGCTGTGAGTTGTTCTCAGCCAACATTCAGTTAGGTGCACCTGCAGGGAAGGGGACCTGGAGGGGCACCCGTGGCCTCCACTATGTTAACTACTGACACTTGCCATCTGCAGTGTACCTGCCTTAACAGATGCTGGTCACATTGTTCAGCATGTTCATCATCTGCACTGTCATCATCAACTGCATATTCATGGCCACAGCTCATGGGAAAGACAACATTATAGATACTGACCTTGCTGAGTAAGTATCTGCCCTGTTTTTAAACAAATACATCTAACAAAAAGTTATAACTTTTTAGCTATATTTATAGAGAGAGTTTAGACATATAGAGAAAGAAAAAGTTACCCATAACCCCAATTCCCCAACACAGTGCTGGAAGAGTCCATTTTATTTTTGTATGTATGTTTTTATGATTGTCTTTAAAGGCCTTTTAAAATACATTGGCAATTAACAGCACACATACGAATTTTATATCTAGCCTTTAAGTGGTTATCTTTGTCTTACAAGGGCTTTATGAGAATCTATTTTGATAGCTATATAATGTTCAGCCAGGTGAATAAACCATAAATTACTTAACCATTCTAGCATTTTGCTACTATAAATAGTATTGCAACAAGCATTTTTTGCATAAAGTTACTTTTCAGAAGTTATTTTCTTAGCGTAGAGTCTTAGAAATGTATTTACTAGATCAAAAGGTACATTATAACGCTTTAAAAATATGTATTGACAAAATATTTCCTCAAAAGTTTGTAGCAATTTAATCTGTCATCAGCAGTATATTCTGACAACCAGTTGTACTATATTCTTGCCAGCATTACATTTTTTCTTCATTAATTTATGAAGTTAAAAATACTTGCATTTCATTAATTTCCAGATGGGTTGGATTTTTTTTTTGTTTTAATTTATGAATTCTGTACTTCCATCTTTGCACATGTGTCATTTTTTTTTCCTGGTCAGTTTGAGTGAGTTCTTTGTATAATTAAAATATTAACTTCTTGTACTTTTTAAATGGTTATTCAGACATAAAAGTTAATTTTTTTAAACTTAGAAAGTTCTGTATTTTGATAAGTATTCTTTTATATGTTGTCCTAATTTTTCTGGGTTTGACATATTTACTGCTTTAGTCTTTCAGGACTATACTGAATAATAAATTGAATAAATAATAAGACCACTTATTTGTATCACATATTTAACTATGTGATAGAAACCACCACAGCCAATATGTGGATCATTCCAAATATCCCCCAAAGTTTTCTCATGTCTCTTTGAGGTTCAGTCTCCTGCCCACCACTTCCAACCCCAAGCAAATGCTGATCTGCTCTCCGTCACTCTAGACTAGTTTTGCCTTTCCTGGAATTTCATATAAATGGAATCATATAGTATGTATGATACCATACTTTTGTGCCTGGCTTCTTTTACTTAGTGTAATGTTTTGAGGTGCATTTATGCTGTTGTATGTTTCACTAGTTTTTTTTTCCTTTTCATTGCTGAGTTGTATTCTATTGTATGGGCATACCACAATTGGTTTTCCTATTCACCTGTTGAGGATTGTTTCCAGTTTTTGTACAAATAAAGTTGTTATGAATATTTCTGTATAAAAGTCTTTTGTGGATATATGCTTGCATTTCTCTTGGATAAGTATCTAGTAGTGGAATTGTTGAATCTTAAAATAAGTATATTTTAAGTAATTTTGTAAGAAACTGCCACAGTTTTCCAATGTGGCTGCACTGCTTTACATTCTTGCCAGCAATATATGAAAGATTTAAAGTCTTTATTAATTTCCTCCATCAATTTTATTTTATTTTAATTTGCTCTTCTATTTCTAGCTTCTTAAGGTAGAAAACTAAATACTTGGTTTTAGATCTTTCTTCTTTTCTTGTGTATTTGTATGAACTTGTAATTTCCATGTAAGCATTGCTTTAGTTATACCCCACAGATTTTGATAATTATGTTTTTATTACCTTTCAGTTCAAAATATTCCCCACTTTGTCTTGTGATTTCTTCTTTGTCCTAAAGTGTTATTTAGAAGTGTGTTTTTAAATTTCCAAATATCTCATGTTTTTCTAGTTGTCTTATTGTTATTGATTTACAGTTTAACTCTGTTGAGGTTAGAGAATATACTTTTCTCTAAGATTTCAGTCTTTTGAGAAACTTGTTTTATGGTCAACCTTGGGAATGGTTCATGTGCACTTGAAAAGAATGTAGATTTTGGAGTTGTTTGGTCTGATATTCTGTAAATGGCTGGTTATGTTAGCGTGGTCAATATGTTATTTAGATCTTTTATAACTTTCCTGCTCCTATTAGTACTTCTATGAATCACTGAAGAGAGTCTTGACATTTCCATCTATGATTATGGGTTTGTTCATTCTCCCTTTCTTTTTTGTTAAATTTTGGTTCATATATTTGCAGCACTGTTATTAGGCACATGAACATTTATGATGATCTTCCTGGTATATGCATTCTTTTATCACTATGAAATGCCCTTCTTTGCCTCTATAATACTCCTTTTAATATTTGTTTTGTCTGATATTAATATAGCTACTTAAGCTTTCTTATGCTCATCGTTTGCATGGCATATCTTTTTCTATCCTTTTACTTTCAACGCTTTTGTGTTTTTATATTTAAAGTATATCTCTTGTAAAGAACACATAGTTGGTTTTGTGGAGTTTTTTAAACAGTCTATCAGTCCAATCTCTGTTTGTTTTTTGTTTGTTTGTTTGTTTGTTGGGTTTTTTTTGGGGGTGTGTGTGTGTGTGTGTGTGTGTGTGTGTTTTGTTAATCCTCACCTGAGGATATTTTTCCATTGATTTTTAGGGAGAGTGGAAGAGAAAGGGAAAGATGGAAAGACAGAGAGAAATATCAATGTGAGGGAAACACATTGATTGGTTGCCTCCTGCATGAGCCCCAACCAGGGCCCGGGCTGGGGAGGAACCTGCAACCAAGGTATGTGTCCTTGACAGGAACTGAACCCCGGACCCTTTGGTCTGCAGGCCAACGCTCTGGCCACTGAGCAAACTGGCCAATCTGTGTGTGTGTGTGTGTTTTAATGGAATATTTAGTTCACTTGCATTTAACGCAATTTTGGATAGGCTTGAATTTAGGCCTATTGTTTTTCTATTGGTCTCACTTTGTACGTTGTTCATTTGCTCTTCTGTTCTCTATTCTGATCTTCTTTTGTGTTAATCAGGGATGTTTAGTATGTCATTTTAATTCTCTACTGGCTTTTTAGCTTTACTTCTTTGCATTATTTTTTAGTGGTTGTGCCCTCTCTGTTGGTGGGTGGAAACTGGAATCTGGTTAAGGCCAGCCAGCTCAGAGGCTGTGCCTTGGAACAGGGGGCATGTACACCCCTGGGAATAGCAACCATCCTGGCAGTATCACTGGGGAAAATGGTTTCTCCTCTGAGAGTTGCTGTTCCATGTGAGAAGCTAACTGAATGCAGAGGCTACTGCTTATTGTTTAGAGCAGTGTCCCTGGAAGCTTCTGTGGTGAAAAGAATGGGACTTGTGAGCAGACAGACCCAGGAGGTGGAATTGCTCCCAGCCTAGCAGTGGTTTGCCCAGCCCAGCACTTCTGGAGAGATGTAATGAATCCTCCCTTCCCATTAAGGAGAAGTAGTGGCCCAACTGAAAGCTAATTTGCTCAAGGCCATTTTCACTACTAAAAGACCCATAAGTCAGAGATATGGAAAAACAAAAAACAAACCTTGTCTAGGGAAGCAGAGAGGCTGGAAGGTAGGGGTGGAAGATGGGGAAAGCTGCTGCTGTCCCCAGGCGGCACTTGGAGCCGTAGTGGATGCATGAAAGTGGGGCTGGGAGGAGGCTGTTCAAGATGTCCTCATAAAAGGAAGCATGCAGTTGGGTGATTAGGCCAATGGGGGGAGAGTTTCTTCAGCATTCTTTGGTTAGAAAAGTATTAAATGGAGAAAATTAAATCCAAGTTAATAGCTCTCAGAGAATGAATGCAGAAGTCCTCCAGGACCAGGCGATGGTATTCTGTTAACCTACTTGGACACCACCTATGGCCCTGCTGGATACTCTAGCTATGCTTGAACTGACAGTGACACACTCTAGGGGCCTGATGGGTTGGGGTCTCCCCGTTAAGGAGCTCCTAAGCCCTGCTTTCTACTGGTGAGCATAGCTCTTACTCCACATCACATGACATGTTGGTCTGCTTGTCCCACCATTTGGCCAGGCTTCTGCAGAAAAAGGGAGAACAATGGAGTTGGGAGGTGGGAGGCTACATAGTCAGGCCGAAATGGCAGTCATGGGCTGCTGTCTCTTTTGCTTGAGATCTAAATGAAGATTTTCAAAAGTCCCTCAAATCTGCAATTACAGCCTTTTCCCAAAATACCTATAACTTCATAAATTATATCTGAGTTTAAAAAATGGTATTTCAAAGCAGACATTAATTAATCTTCTGTGTTCATCTGTCACCTAAAAGGTGATCAGTTTAGAAAGGGGCTGAAGCAGAGAGGAGCTCTTGCCTCTGGCAACCTCATAACCATTTCTTCTTTGGACTTGGCTGCTTTGGGATTTTTCAAGTCCTCAAGACCTTAGTTCTATAGCTTTGAGGGCTAACAATGGCTGGATATTCTACCACTTTTAATCTGAACAAACAGATTGTTGGCATTGATTGTTTGGCTCCAAAAGTGAAACTAGTGTGTGTGTGTGTGTGTGTGTGTGTGTGTGTGTGTGTGTATGAGAGAGAGAGAGAGAGAGAGAGAGAGAGAGAGAGAGAGAGAGAGAGAGAGAGACAGAGAGAGACAGAGAGAGAGACAGAGAGAGGAGAGAGAAAAAGTACAAACCCAGTATTTTTCACAGTTTGGGATTATAACAAGAGAAATAAGGTATTATGTTCTGTTTTGGAGGGAGGGGAAGAAGGGAAATAAATTAGAGGATAGACATGGTGAAGGACTCAGGGGAGAAAATGAAAATACTAGTAGTTTAGCCCGCCAGCAGAGCATCGACCTATGAACCAGGAGGTCACAGTTTGATTCCCTATCAGGGCACGTGCCCAGTTTGCAAGCTCAATCTCCAGTGTGGAGTGTGCAGGAGGCAGCCGATCAATGACTCTCTCTCATCATTGATGTTTCTATCTCTCCCTCTTCCTCTCAGAAATCAATAAAAAGAAAAGATAAGAATTAACAAACAAAGTGGTTCCCCAGCGGGTTGGGCTCAGTAGATATAGTGTTGGCCCTTGGACTGAAAGTCCCGGTTTGATTCAAGTCAAGGGTATGTACCTTGGTTGCAGGCTCTATCTCCAGTTCTGGTAGAGGCTCATACGGGAGGTAACCAATTAATGTGTCTGTCTCACATCAATGTTTCTCTCTCTCTGTCTCTCCCCCTCCTTTCCACTTTCTCTAAAAAAATCAATGGAAAAATATCCTCAGGTGAGGATTAACAAAAAAAAAAGTGGCAAAATACACATTACATAAAATATACCATCTTAACCATTTTAAGTGTATAGTTCATTGGTATTAAGTTACATTCACATGGTTGTGCAACCATTACCACCATTCATATCTAGAAATCTTTTCATCTTGCAAAACTGAAACTCTGTACCCATCCTATATAATAAAAGCCTAATATGCTAAGTGTCTAATTGTCTGGTCGTCCATTCAACCAATCAAAACGTAATATGCTAATGATATGCTAAAGTCGCTCAACTGCTTGCTATGACGTTCACTGACCACCAGGGTCAGACGCCCTGACCAGTAGGTGAGCTTGCTGCTGGGGTCCTGCCGATTGGGACTGAGTGAGATGGGCTGGACACACCCTGGAGCCCTCCCGCAGTCCCTCCCCAGCTGGCCAACCTCCTGCGTCCCTCCCCAGCCTTGATTGTGCACCAGTGGGGTCCCTTGGCCTGACCTGCTCCCTCTTGCAATCTGGGATCCCTTGGAGGATGTTGGAGAGCTGGTTTCAACCCAAATCCCACAGGCCAGGCCAAGGGACCCCACTGGTGCATGAATTCACACACTGGGCCTCTAGTTAAATAATAACTCCCCATTCTGCCCTCCCCCTCATTTCCTGGCAAACACCATTCTACTTTCCATCTCTGTGTGATATTTGACTGCTCTAGATGCCTCATATAAGAGGAATCATACAGTGTTTGCCTTTTTGTAACTGGTTTATTTCCCTTAGCATAATGACCTCAAGGTTCATCCGTGTTGAACCTTGGTTCATCCATGTAGCATGTGACAGGATTTCCTTCCTTTTAAAGGATGAATAATATCCCATTGTATATACCACATTTTATTGATCTATTCATCTGGATCAATGGATATTTGGGTTGCTTCTACTTCTTGACTATTGTGAATAGTGCTGCTATAAGCATGGGGGTACAAATATCTCTTCAACACTGTGCTTTTTATTTTTCTGTATATATACCCAGATGTAGGATTGCTGGATCATATGGCAATTCGATTTTAATTTGTTTGAAGAACCTCCATACTATTTTCCATTGTGGTTACACCATTTTACAATCCCACCAATACTGCATAAGGGTTTTAGTTTCTCCATATCCTCATAAACACTTGTTATTTTCTTTTTTTTTTTTTAAAGTAGCCATCCTAATGGATTCAAAGTAATAAATCATGATGGTTTTGATTTGCATTTCCCTGATGATTCGTAATATTGAGCATCTCTTCATATTCTTGTTGGCCTTTTGTATATCATCCTTAGAGAAATATCATTCAAGTAGTTTGACCACATTTTTAAAGTTTTTTTTAAAATTAATTTTAATGAGAGGAAGGGAAGGGAAGAGAGAGAAAATTCAGTGATGAGAGAGAATCATTGATCAGCTCACTCCTGAATGCCCCCTGCTGGGGAGTGAGCCTGCAACCTAGCATGTGCTCTTGACCAGGAGTCAAACTGGGACCTCCTGGTTCTTGGGTCAACGCTCAACCACTGAACTATACTGGCTGGGCAGTTTGACCATTTTTAAATTGTATTATTTGATATTTTGTTGTTGAGTCATAGAAGTTCTTTATGTAATCTGGATATTAACCTCTCATCAGATAAATGATTTGAAAATATTTTATTCTAGGAGTTTATACTTTCTGGTCTTAAGTTTAGCTCTTAATCTATTCTGAGTTAATTTTTGTACGTGATGTAAGATAAGGATCCCACTTTATCCTTTTGAATGTGGATATTGGACTTTCCCAGCATCATTTTGTTGAAGAGACTGTTCTTTTTCCATTCAATAGTTTTGGCACCCTTGTTGAAAATCATTTGACCATATATGTGAGGACATATTTCTGGGCTTTCTATTCCAATTTAGATTTTTTTAGCTCAGATTTCGTTCTTTTCCAAGATTGTTGAGGCTATTCATGGTTCCTTGAGATAGCTACATGAATTTCAGGATACATTTTTTTTTATTTCTGTAAAAAATGTCATTGAGATTTTGATAGGGATTGCATTGAATCTATAGATCCTTTTGAGTAGTATGAACACCTTAACAGCATTAACTCTTCCAATCTATGAACATGGGATGTGGAAAGATTTAGCTTTTAGCCTTAGGTTTACTTTCTTTTTCCTTTGCCATCATCTCCTTCTGTACATGAGTGACAACTGCAGAAAAGCAGTGGCAAACTATATTCCCAAGTCTCAGGGCCCCATGTTGGCTGAAACTCTGCTCAAGGATGTCGCTATGAAGCTAGGCATTGTAAAGTGGCTTTACAACTCTAGCATGGGCCTGTTTTTCAGAAATTCTAACTACTGGAACTTGCTTGAGGAGCTTGTCTTTCTGAACTCTGGTTTGCTAAAGACCAGAATGTTAAATGTCACACTGAAATGGATAAAACCTAATCAAGGCCAGATAAGACAGGCAGGCTCTCTGCTTTTCACATCACTTATTTCCTTCCTGTTCTGAATGATTTACTTTGTAGGTATATCTTCACTGGGATTTATATTTTTGAAGCTTTGATAAAAATATTGGCAAGAGGTTTTATCCTGGATGAGTTTTCTTTTCTTCGAGATCCATGGAACTGGCTGGACTCCATTGTCATTGCAACAGCGTAAGAATGTTAAAGATTTTTAATGGAGAGACTTGGGGTGGGAAAGAAGCCCCTTTGGCTTACATCAGGGCTCTGTGTGAATCCACGTGAGTAGCTAAGTGTGGTCTAGTAATGCCTTAGAGCTCTGAGGGCAGTGTTGGTTGACCCTGAACAGTACCATGTAGTCAGTTGGCCAGAGGCATCCATGCACAAAGCCATTTCTAGGCCAACCCTCATGTTCTCATTCCTTCAGTCATTAATTCACTAAACACTATGAGCCAGGTTCTGTGTAAGAGACAGGGCTTGTGATAATGAAAAAACAAAACAAACAAACATACCTCATTCTCAGTCCAGATGAGAGAGAACAATCAGTGACCATTACAGTCTGGCACGGTGAGCGTTAAGATAGGAGCTGTGCATGTATCAGGCTGTCAGAGCATGTATCAGGCTGTCAGAGCATGTATTGGGCTTCCAGAGCATATACGGGGCTGTCAGAGCATGTATCAGGCTGTCAGAGCATGTATCAGGCTGTCAGAGCATGTATTGGGCTTCCAGAGCATATACGGGGCTGTCAGAGCATGTATCAGGCTGTCAGAGCATGTATTGGGCTTCCGGAGCATATATGGGGCTGTCAGAGTATGAATCAGGCTGTCAGAGCATGTATTGGGCTTCCAGAGCATATACGGGGCTGTCAGAGAATGAATCAGGCTGACAGAGCATGTATTGGGCTTCCGGAGCATATATGGGGCTGTCAGAGTATGAATCAGGCTGCCAGAGCATATATGCGGCTGTCAGAGTATGAATCAGGCTGCCAGAGCATATATGCGGCTGTCAGAGTATGAATTAGGCTGCCAGAGCATATATGGGGCTGTCAGAGTATGTATTGGGCTACCAAAGCATGGAGGAGGAACCAAGGAGTCTAAAAAATCTTTAGCTACTACAAGGACACAAAGAGTTTCTCTCATGTTGCCTTCTAGAATTTTTATAGTTTTGGCTCTCATGTTGAAGTCCATGGTCCATTTTGGGTTCAATACTGTGTATATTGTATATGACAGGTGAAAACTGAAGTTCTTCATGAAGGAAGGGGCATCAGTTTGGCATCTGAATGATGAGGCAGAGTCAGCAAAATAAGAAGCAAGAAAAGAAATGGTCTATTGCCAACACAGTAACAGCAAACCTTTAATTAAGTTGTCAAGCCAGCCATTATTTTAAGCACTTGCATATATTTTCATACCTAATATTCCCAAAAGCCCTTTGAGGTAGTTGTTATTCATTTCAGAGTTTTACATTTGAAGGTCTACAATCGGGTGCTCTTAGCTATTGAAAGGTGGTGTAGTATAGCAGTGAATAGTGTGGGCCCAGGAGACAGACCACCTGTGTACCTTATGGGCTTGGCCACATATTGAGACCTTAGGGAAGTGCCTGGGGCCAATCAATAAACATTTCAATTGATTTATATTAAGCATGGATGTAGCCACAACTATTTCAAGGAATCCTTACCTTTGTCCAAATATAAAGATTAGTTGAGAACAGCCACCTATACAATCCCTGGTCCATAGCAAAATAGAATATTAGGAGACCCTGAGATGAAAGTGGGCTTGGGAAGGTGAGGCCCCAGATTTCACCTCTGTGGACCCAGGGCCTAGGCCAGGGGTCCTCAAACTTTTTAAACAGGGGGCCAGTTCACTGTCCCTCAGACCGTTGGAGGGCCGGACTATAGTTAAAAAAAAAACTATGAATAAATTCCTATGCACACTGCACATATCTTGTTTTGAGGTAAAAAAACAAAACGGGAACAAATACAATATTTGTATTTGCATGTAGCCCGCGGGCCGTAGTTTGAGGACCCCTGGCCTAGTCTACGCTTGCTTGTGCCTATGATGGTGTGTAGTGCAGCTGCAGGACTGAGCTTTTCCTGTGCCTTGTCTTGTAGGTTTGTGTCATTATTACCATTTATGAAGGCCAACAGCATCAGTCTGTCATCCCTGCGTACCTTCCGAGTGTTCAGGGCTTTGAAAGCAATTTCAGTAGTTTCAGGTAAGTCACTTTAACTTTCAACATTGACACTTAGTGGGAGAGAACATTCTTTTATATTTAAAATTTCTCCAAATGTCATATAAACCAAAATCAAACAAACAAACCAACCAACCAACCAACCAGTTCTGCTTTTACTTTTTATTTGATTGTTCAACAAATATGTATTGTGCAGGTGCTATGCTAGCTGCTTGGGATATATCAGTGAGCAAATGCAAAGATCCCTGCCCTCATGGAATTTACATTGTATGTGGGGGGCGGGGGGTGGGGAGACAGACCCTAAACAATAATTATCCTATATAATAAAAGCCTAATATGCGAAGTGTCCTGTCGGCCAGTCAGCTGTTCAACCAATCAAAGCATAATATGCTAATGATATGCTAAGGCCGCTCAACGGCTCTCTGTGACATGCACTGACCATCAGGGGGCAGACAGCTGACTGGTCGACCAGTCGCTATGACGTGCACTGACCACAAGGGGGCATATGCTTCAACCAGTAGGTGAGCTTGCTGCTGGGGTCTGGCAGATTGGGACTGAATGAGATGGGCCGGACACACCCTGGAGCCCTTCCACGGTCCTTCCCCAGCTGGCCAACCTCCTGCATCCCTCCCTGGCCCCGACTGTGCACCGGTGGGGTCCCTTGGCCTGGCCTGCTCCTTCTTGCAATCCGGGACCCCTTGGAGGATGTTGGAGAGCTGGTTTCAGTCCAAATCCTGCAGGCCAGGCCGAGGGACCCCACTGGTGCATGAATTTGTGCACCAGGCCTCTAGTAATAAATAAGTTATCCAGCATGTTAGAAAGTGATATGTGCCATAAAAAAATACAAACAAAAAGGAAAAGTAAACAACATGAGAGCTACTGGAAGTCTCAGTAGGGGAAACAGGTTGCAGTTTTCAATAGAGTGGTTAGGATGGGTGTCATTGAGAAGGTGAGATGTGAGCAGATTTTAAGGACATGATAGTTTCACAAGCAGATACATGGTAAAGAGTATTCTGGGGATAGGAAACAGTCCAAAGACTGGGATAGGAAGGATACGAATGAGGCTGGAGCAGACAGTGAGGAGCCAGATGATGGAGGTGGGAACACAGAAGTGAAGGGGAGGCATGTAAGTGCTGGGAAGATTTGAGCTTTGCTCTGAAACAAATGGGAGCCAGGTGAGGGCTTTGAGCAGAGGAGTCGCATGACCTGACTCAGGTTTTGAAAACATTACTTTATGTGGGGACTAGAATGTGGGGGAGCAAAGGTAGAAGCAGGAACCCAGTGGGAGGCATGTCGTTGCCATGGAAATGTGCCACTCAGATCTCCTACTGCAAGGACCATAGTTGACTAATGGTCTCAGCTGCCATCTGTCTGGATTCACCACTGCATTCATGTTCATGCCAAGATTGTGCTTTCCCTACGTATTGGGAACACTATTCTTTTTAAATTTTATTGATTTCAGAGAGGAAGGGAGAGGGAGAAAGAGAAGGAAAGATGTATGATGAGAGGGAATCATTGATCAGCTGCCTCCTGCACACCCCCTACTGTGGGATTGAGCCCACAACCCAAGCATGTGCCCTGACCAGGAATCAAACAGTAACTTCCTGGTTAACAGGTCAACACTCAACCACTGACCCATGCCAGCTGGGCTAGAGGAAGGATGTGGGACTCCCCTATTGGGGGACTTTAGCTTAGGAGCTCCCCAGCAACCTGGTTGAGACTGTCACATCAGCACTAATCTGAGGCTTGTCCTGTCCAATCATGCTTCCCTCTTATTCTCCTTTCCCATGTGTCAGCCCTGTGTCACAGTCGGGCTCTCCCTGCCAACTCTATTCCTTCCTGCTTATTCTTCACAGGCATTTCACCCAACCAATCTCTTGCAATCTGATCCTATAGTACCTGCTTCCCAGAAAACCCACACTGACACAAGGGGATACTGCCACAATCCAGGCAAGAAATGGTGGTGCTCTCAGACCAGCTGGTGGTAGAGGAGTTGGTGGACAGCAGTCACATTCTGTATACATTTGAAGGTAGAAACAATAGAATTTCCTGATAGGTTGATTGTATGTGGTGTAAACAAAAAAAAAAGAGTCAAGGGTGGGTCAAGGATTTTAGCCTGAGTGACTGGAAAGATGAAGTCGTCATTGACTGAAACAGGGCAGACCATGAGAGGAGCAGGTCTTGGCGGTCAGGGTAGGAGTTCATTTTGGACATGTTCTGTTTGAGATGGCTGTGAGACATCCAAATGAAAGTTTTAAGTGGGCACTTATATATGAGCTGGGAGTTTCAGGGAACAGTATGGGCTGGAGATATAATTTTTGAAATCATGAGCCTATAGATGGTATCGAGAGCTATAAAATCTGATGAGATCACCAAGAGAACAAGCACAGATGGAGACTAGAAGAGGGTGAAGGTCTGAGTCCTGGAGCCTGCCACCTAAGGGGAGGGGCGAAGAGGAGTCACCAGGAAAGGCAATGAACAGGAGCCACAGCAAAGTAGGAAGGAAAGCAAAGGTGGTCTCATGGAAGCCAGGTAAGGAAGGTGCTCCGTGAATCAGGACGAAGACAAAGATGGGTGGTAACTATGAATTCCAGTTTATTAAAAACGAGGTTATTATGGTACACTCTTCTCCTTTCCTTCGTCTTTCCTCTACAAAAAAAAAAAAATCATTATAAAAAAATCCCTTTCTGGAGTTCTTTCCCACCTTCCATCTTTTCTACCCCTCTATCCATTATATTAATGGCTAAGCTACTGTATCAGAACTATAGGCAATTTGGGTATTTTCAAACAGAGCAATGGGTTATTTTTTGAATCTCAATAAAAGTAACTACACGGTGATAGGAAACTGGCAGTCAGAGGACAATTACGTAGAATTTGTCTCTCCTCTTCCTCCTCCTCTTCTTCTTTTGCAAATTGGACCTTGGTTTCCCAGGTAGATTTAGGGGCTCTCTGCATGAGCTGAGTCCCTTGTAGTATCATACAGGTAAAATATATACTGAGGCAGTCGCTTAGTGGCTTTATTGTCTCCTTTTTCATCTCTAAGCAGGTGACTATAGTCTCCCGTATGACTCATGAGCACATGGGATCTCTGGATGTTTTTTGGAAGTGAAGGTGTAAGGCACAATCTTTTAAGGGACTATGTAAAAATTATTTAGGGATCACAACCATCTTCTTTCATTCAATTCTTCTTGCACTGGAGAAGACTCAGGTCTCTTATAGATGAAATTTGGACTTGGATGAGGTCGTAGCAATTTCTTGTTTGACTGCAACTGGGGACATAGCAAATGCCCCAGCTTGGCCTCAAGGCTTCTCCCCATGTGACATTACACTTTGTGGGAAGGTTATCTATGTAGGGCTGCTTCTGCCTTGTGTTCTCAAGTCTACCATATGTGGTTTACACGAATCAATTGAAACTTTGTTGGGTAGTGTCATCCCACCTGTTATAATTCACATCTGGTTATCTTTCCAGCTGTGTTGAGATCAGAGCCCATGACTCAGTTGTGAGCTAGGCTGACTTGTGGCTCCTCACCAGATTGTGCACATCTTTTCCAACTCTGCTGGTACATCATGCTGGTAACTTGAAACCAGGGGGAAGGGGTATATGGAAGGAGAGGAGGAATCTACACTATGGAATTCAGCAAACAAGGAAATCTATAAATGCTTTAAATGAAGAGTTTCCCATACCCTCCTTCCCCCCTTCCCACTCTGCCCTCCCCGGGAACTGATTTTAAATATTTGCCAGCATACTATAAGACTATGTTCTTATTGGTAACTTTGGCATTCTAACAGTGTGCCATGGACACAGTAGGTGCTCTGTAAATTCTTTTTGAATGAATGAAAAAGCAACCATATTATAACTAATAATCTGAGAGTTTTTTTCCCTAGGACATCCTTATTATTTGAGTCTAGACCAGCCGTGGGCAAACTACGGCCAGCGGGCCAGATCCGGCCTGTTTGAAATGAATAAAACTATTGAAAAAAAAGACCATACCCTTTTATGTAATGATGTTTACTTTGAATTTATATTAGTTCACACAAACACTCCATCCATGCTTTTGTTCCGGTCCTCTGGTCCAGTTTAAGAACCCATTGTGGCCCTCGAGTCAAAAAGCTTGCCCACCCCTGGTCTAGACAAAGCTCCTCTTTCAGCTTCCTGCCCCTGACACCTCATATACCTTTTAGTAGGTAGTGACTGCTAAATGTTAAATATAACCATGGCTCCTTTTCTTGGATGGCCTCATTCTCACCTTAATGATATATGTGCCTCCCCTTCAGCTGTGGCGGTGCCTACACAGTTGTCATAGTTACTCCCATATGGCATGCTTCTGCTCAAGGTCTTCTCATTTGTTTTTCAGAGCACCCCTGTGGCAGACCTAGGGCAGGGATGGGGAGCTGAGACCTAGACATGTGGAGTACTCTGATGACACACAACCTCTAAGGCACAGAGTTGGAACTAGAACTCATGGCATCAGAATCCTAGGCCAGGCCTGTTTCCAGTTCCAGCCTGCAATCAGATAGCTTCCGAGGCCGTGGCTGCTCCCTCCTGTGTCTGCCTCTAGCCTGTGTCTGAGTGGGGGCTTCTCTCCACACCTGTCCTCCTCCTCAGGTCTGAAGGTCATTGTGGGGGCCTTGCTGCGCTCTGTGAAGAAGCTTGTTGACGTGTTGATCCTGACTCTCTTTTGCCTCAGCATCTTTGCCCTGGTAGGTCAGCAGCTCTTCATGGGAAGTCTGAACCTGAAATGTGTCAAGAAGGACTGCGAGAACATCAGTAACCCTGACGGTAAATACCCTACTTTTTATTCCTTAGTTTGTGCATAGTTAATTTTGTTTTATTCCCACTCATACCATTTATATGTGTGCATTACAGAGTCTCTTAGGAGCAGGGGGTAACCTCATCTATCCAGGGTTCTCCTGCAGGCAGATGCATGTCTTAGAGAATTGCTTCATTCTGTGGGTTTCTATGGAGAAAAAAAAGCCCAAAGTCACATCCATAAGAACAGTGTCAGCTCCCATCCTTTTCCACAGAGATTTCTGCCCACTTCTTTGACATGTTTTACAGAAGTCTTCAGAATGCCTGGATTTGGCCAAAGCAAACCAGAAAGTGCCCAGTCCGCAGTCCCGAGTATTTTCTCTGATGGTATCATTTCTTTTTGCTTTGCGCCCTCTTCACACTAGAGGTGACCCTATTCCCATTTCATGTGCCGAATCTCATGTGGCTCCGCTTTCTTCATGTCTATCTGGGCTTATGAGCTTCTCATGGGCTGAGTCTGTGTCCACTTCATGGGGTGGTCTCACCAGTTTTATGTCCCGAGAGGCAAAGCGGAGGTGATGCCACTACTTTCCCTCCTCCTCTTTCTTCCTCTCTCCTTTCCCTCCTTTTCTTTTGCTCCTTTCTGATGGCCTAGGTTTCCTCCAGTTCCTCTCTGGACATCCACTTTGATCACTTTAGAGGGTTTTGAACCATCTGTTTCAAGTATAATCTGGCATATTTGCTGTTCTCTTTCATTTCAGTGGTTTCTTTTTTAAAAAAATCTGAACTTATGATTCTTTTCTTCTCAGACTATTGCTTTGAAAAGAAAGATTCCACTGAATTCAGGTTGTGTGGCACCTGGTTGGGTAAAAGGTAAGAAACTTATATTCTCCATTTCTCTCTCAAGCAGAGCAACTCTAGATCCTTTAAAGCAGTGGCTCTCAACCTTCCTAATGCCACGACCCTTTAATACAGTTCCTCATGTTGTGGTGACCCCCAATTTCATTGTTAAAAATTGAACATAATTAAAGCATAGTGATTAATCACAAAAAAATATGTAATTATATATGTATTTTCCGATGGTCTTAGGTGACCCATGTGAAAGGGTCTTTCGACCCCCAAAGGGGTCGCGACCCACAGGTTGAGAACCACTGCTTTAAAGTGATGTGGCAAGCAGTCTTCACCTAATGATTGTGGAAGGCAGTGATGGAAGTTCTCAAACAGTACTGATTTTTTTCATATGTCTAAGCAAGTTTAGATGTGCATTGTTAAATTAAAAAATTAACATGATTACAAAAATCATTAGTAGAATTAAAAGATAAAGTTGAGTAAATAGCCCAGAAAGTAGTAACAAAATACAGAGACAGAAATATCACAATAAATACCAATCCAGAAGTTCTAACTTTTGAAAAAGTAAGAATTCAAGAAATAGAGCACAGAAAAAAACAAAAAGGAAGACATTAGCAAAGAAATAATACAGAGAATTTCCCTGGGATTAAGAATGCAACTCCCTTGGTGTCCCATAAAGTGCCCAACACAACATATGAAAAAGGACCATGCCAAGTGCATTATTGTGGCATTACAGAATCTTTGGGGGAAACGATTTTAAAACCAAAGAGAAAAAGGTAATCAACAAATAAAAATTAAAATGAGATCAGAATTCCCACTAGCAATACAGGATAGTAGCTGAGCAGTGTCTTAATATTTCTAAGGAAAAATAATTTTCAACGTAGAATTCGATTTCTGGCCAAACAATCAACTATGAAGCTAGAAAAAAGTTATACTCATATATGCAAAGCTACCCAGTCTTCTTAGGAAGCTACTTGAGATCTGCTCCAGAAAAGTGAGGAAGTAAAACTCGGAAAGAGAAACACATGAGCCAAGAAAAAAATGTATTCGACCCAAGAGAGCCGTTGACATGGGCCACAGCATTTTTCTATGAAGAGCGATACAATAGTGATGAAGCAGGATGGGATCAACCAGCATAGCAGAAACTTAATCAGCAAGGGCTAAAATTGGTCAATTCAATATCAGTATTATATTTAGAGATGTGGATGTAAAATGTTTAAAAGTTGTTGAGTTTGGGATGTGTAAGTGATGATTAAAGAATGATGGCATGGTTTTATTATAAGCATAGGTGCCATGTGATTTGTAAACCACATATGCTTTACTTTGATAAAAATACTATTTTTATTAAAAATTAAGAAAGCGCATGCCCTGGCTGGGTGGCTCAGTTGGCTTAGTGTTGTCCCATACACCAAAAAGTTGTGGGTTCTATTCCAGGTCAGGGCACACACATACCTCGGTTGTGGGTTTGATCCCCGGTTGGAGTGAGTACAGGAGTCAACTGATCGATGATTCTCTTTCTCTTCCTCCCTTCGCCTTATCTCTCTAAAAATCAATAAAAGCATATCCTCGGATGAGGTTAAAACAAAAAAGGAAGTGCACATCCTTAGTATATCATAAAGATACACTTAACAATGTGTGTTTTGGTGATGTGGGCAAAGACCTGTGTACAAGATATCCATTGTTTGTAGAGTAAACCCCAAATGTTTGTAAAGGCAAAAGAGTGTTAACAAATGTAAATATTCATCATTAGTCAAGCAGTTAGATAAATCTTGGGATTGTAAGACATGAAAAGAATGGGGTATCTCCCTGTATGCTGATATGGAAAGATCCTCAAGCTATATTGCTCCATGAAAAAAGCAAGGTGCATGAGAGTGTTTAAAGAATGCTTCCATATATGTATTATAGAAGATATGTATTGATATAGATGTGCTTCTATAATCATAGACACTTCTAGAAAGTCACAAAATAAGTTAAACTGTTGCCTCTAGGAAGTAGAACTGGGGGTTGAGAGGGAGAGGGAGAGGGAGACTTGATATTTATTGTATGACCTTTGCTACTGTTAATTGCTCACTATGTCACTGCACTTAAATTTTTAATGAAAAACTAGCTAATATAAATTTCCTAATCAACCTATTTGGAAAGAGTCAATGGGTACCCACAATAAGGTATAGGCTGGGAGGGTTGACAGATGGGGATGGCCATTCTACAAATACTGAATTCACCCAAGACTTTTGGGTGTGAGCCCATGGCCCTCAGATGAACCAGTGCTATGTGGTGGGGTGAAGTTGTTATTCTTTCTCTGTTCCCTTGTTTCCCATATCCAGTGCCTGTTCCCACCAGTTTGCATGCATCCACACCAAAAAGAATCCTGACTATGGCTTTACAAATTTCGACAACTTTGGCTGGTCTTTTCTTGCCATGTTCCGGCTTATGACCCAAGATTCCTGGGAGAAGCTTTATCGACAGGTTATCTATTATTTTTATTTTCTCTCTCGAAATATCTATCATTTATTTATAACCTACCATCTGTTCTTCACCTTTGTCCCCTATTCCCCACCTTAACAGTGGTACTGTTACATTATGCTTTATAAATTCTATTAGGAACATAAAAATGATAAACATGATATATGAAAGAATAGTGTACACACCTTTCTCTTCCTAGAAATATGACAGTTCTCCATATCCCCTCCTGCCTGAAGTTCCACCACTAGTGCTTCAGTTTCCATGAGGCATTACTGTTGTTCTTGCCTCTTTAATTTTAAAATGCAAATACTCTGGAGAAATTCATAGGAAATTCACTGAGACTTCCATGGGAATGGATGGATGGCATCTTCTCCTTGAGAGATAGGGCATCAGGAGTCCCTGGGTAACTGGGGAGGCTGTAGATGAGGCTGTGGGCAGCTGAGCCAACTACTGCTGGGGAAGACCAATTGGTACTGTACAATTTCTACTTGAAATGATGGTCACCGCTATGTGGAAGAAGGCTTCAGATGCCAGCGTGTGCTCTGTCCCTTGCAGACCTTGCGTACCTCGGGGCCCTTTGCAGTCTTCTTCTTTGTGGTGGTCATCTTCCTGGGCTCTTTCTACCTGATTAACTTAACCCTGGCTGTTGTCACCATGGCTTATGAGGAACAGAATAGGAACGTAACTGCTGAGACGGAGGCCAAGGAGAAGATGTTCCAGGAAGCTCAGCAACTGTTAAGAGAGGAAAAGGAGGTATGGCTTATGGGGTCAGACTGTGGGCTCTACTTAGGGGGACTCCAGGGGCCATGGGACCTGAGGCTCAGGCTGCTGTATGAGGCCTGATCATAGCACTCGACATACTGGTGCTTTTCTGAGAATTTAAACCCCTTGCAGACTGGCTCTGCTGCTATCTCTCACTAAGATGTCTAGGCACAGGGCTCTTGGGAACAGGGAACCCTTGGTTTAGTTACTCTTTGACCTTCTGAAACCTGAATCTTCTAGGACAGATTCCAAATTGCTGGCTAGAAGAGGTAGACAGAGATAGAGATAGAGATAGAGATAGAGATAGATACTCCAGGTTCTGCTCTAGATTTTATTGTGGGAATCTGGAGATGTTTATGTTCAGGGCCTTGCTTGAGAGAGTCTGGGAAGTCAATAATGGTGGCTCTAGAGACAACAGGCATAATCATCTCTCCCTTCTTAAAATTCCTGTCACATAGATAGGCCATTCTCATTGCTTTGCTGGTATCTTTAGATTTTTCCAGTTCAATTCTAGATTTTCAGGGCAGGGACCATTTTTTATACTCCTCACCTTCCATAGATATATCTCAGGGGGAAACCTATTGTATGTCCTTAATGTCTGCATCATAGGCACATACATTTATCGAGTTCCTAGCACATACTGGACACTGTGCTAAGGTTAGTGATACAGAGATATGAAAGAGTCTACTCGGCCTTTGAGAGCTGCAATCTCTGTGGACAAACAGGACATGTTCCCCAGATAAATAATGACAAAGCTAGCATATTCCAATTAGGTGATGAGCAATCTGCATGGCACAGCGCTACCGAAACAGGGAGAGAGTGCTCACAAAGGTTGAGGTCATTTGTAGTGTTTCATAGGGAGGTATAACCTGTTTATTAATTATGTTTGTTCCTTTTCTAAGGCTCTGGTTGCCATGGGAATTGACAGAAGTTCGCTTAATTCCCTTGAAGCATCATCTTTTTCCCCAAAGAAGAGAAAGCTATTTGGTAATAAGAAAAGGAAGTCCTTCTTTTTCAGAGAGCCTGGGAAAGAACAGGTTCTAGGATCAGATTCTGACGAAGATTCCCCAAAAAAGGTAAGTGTTGGTCAAGGAATTAATGATGGGTCAAGTTGTCAATCTAATTGAAAGGATTCACTCATTTACTCATTTATCCACTCCTCCATTTGCATACACTTTCCTTCAGTCTATTCAGTTACCCATTATTTACAAATATCTACTTAAAATGTTGACAGTGTTTCCTGTCTGCATGGCACTGGGGTCGGTGATAGGGATACATGAGATGTATAAGACAAACAACTAATGATGAAGATACACTAAAAAGGAGGCAGTTGCTGTTCAATGTGATGACTGACGAGATGATTGCTGTGGGAGAACAGTGTTCCCTCCCAAGCAAACCCTGAGACATTAGAGTGCAAGTAGATTACTTAGCAAGTGATCCCAGGAAGCACTAAGAGGGGAGGAGAGAAGCAATACATGGAAGAGAGGGTAGCCAAAGGAAGTGCAATATCAAGCCATTTGCCACTGACGATACTTGTAGTTTAACTTCCTTAGAGTGGGGGCGATAGGATATGTATACACCAACTTTGGTCCATCATTGGTTAAAGACTGATAGGGTGAAAAGACAATAATTTTTCTATATTTCTAACTTGCTGTGTAGTAGGGCAGAGGGGGTTCAGGTAACAAGAGAAAGCCTTCAGGTAAGGCCCAAGGACATATGGATGAGGCCAACAACAACATCTGCTTCAGATAACCAACCCAATGACAGCGGCTTAAACTACGGTGAGAGCAGGGAGGATGAAGAGAGATGAACAGATTAACAGAGTACAGTGATCTGCAGAAGGTAAAATTTGGCAGTTGACTAGATATAGAGAGTAGGGATGATGCCCAGTTTATAGCTTTGGTGGTTGACTTGATGGAGGGTAATTTATGGAGACAGGAAAGGAACTTGTCCTGGGGATGTTGAAGATAGCAAGTTCGGTTTTGGACTGTCAAGTTTGATGTACTTATGGATCATCCAAGCAGAGAAGCCAATTGGATGTACAGAAATGAAGTTACTGGGGAATGTGCAATAGGAAATACTAGTAAAAAGTTATTTTTATCATTAAGGTGGGAGATGTTGAAACATGTTTTACTTGTGGACAAAGGAGCCAGAAACAGGGAAAATGTTGAGGATAAGGCCATGGACTAATGACTAGAGCCACTTTCCTGGGATGGGAGGGAGAGGATGTGGGCAGCAGGTGTGTGTGCATGCCTGAGGATCTGGGCGTGTTGGGGGGATGGAGTTGAGGGGCCTTTGCAGAAGTAGATGGACAGATATCATCTACTGCTGTGAATAGTTCTCTGATGGAGTGGCAGAGTATAGAGGCTTCTTTCCTGTCAGAACTCAGCATATGGAAGAGACTGCAAATACTTCTTTTAAAAAAATTCCTCACCCGAGAATATTTTTCCATTGATTTTTAGAGAGAGTAGAAGAGAGAGAGGGAAAGACAGAGAGAATTATCAATGTGAGAGAAACACTTCGATTGGTTGCCTCCTGCACGAGCCTCAACCAGGGCCCGGGCTGGGGAGGAGACTGCAATCTAGGTACATGCTCTTGACCAGAATCAAACCTGAGAGCTTTGGTCTGCAGGCCAATACTTTATCCACTGAGCCGAACTGGCTATATCTGCAAATACTTTTTTAGTATTTTGAAAGTTTCTCCTTGTTCCACAAAGACAAAGACCCAGACACCTAATATAAAGTGTCTTTACCCTTTAATTAGAACAGGAGATAGCTATATAAAGATTACAGGTTGCCTTTTGAACAGGTGATCACAGAGGAATAGTTCCCTCTGGGGCTCTGGTTGGTCAGAACTTTTGGGAAATAAGTCATTATGGATACTCGAGGTTCCTGGATAGCTGAAGGTTTATGTTCTTTAATCTCCAGAGAATTTAGAATTATAGGTAAGTAAGCTCTTGAGCACAGCCTGAGAGAGTGCTTGAGGGTCAGTACATAGATCTTGTGATATTTGATTGTTCTCTTCAGCTACTGTTTCCAAATCTATTTAGGTAGCATTTAAGGCACTTCACTCTCTGGCTCCAATCCACCTTTCTAAATTTATCTCTCCCTCTCAAGCATTGATTCCAAATTAGATTTTTTATTGCTTTCACGAACCCTGAATCACTGTTCATTATTGTTTTCTTTGCTTGAAAAAAAACACAGCAAATGTTTATTATTATATAATTCTTTGAGTTTGAAATCCAAAATAAAGTTGTTGGTAGGCCCAAACTTCCTCTGGAGTGTCTAAGGCAAACTCTTCCTTCCCCATTCTTAGCTTTTGATGGTTTGCCAGCAATCATTGGTATGTTGGTTAGGTTTTGTAAATTTTTTTGTGATTTTTATTGACATTAATAAATCACAGAGAAAAAAATTTCTGTAGATAGGCCTATAGATACGTGCACCCATAAGAAACATGAGTGGTCAAAGCATATTTCTCTTATTATATATGAAATAAGAGAACTGAACATCTGTCATCATCTTGAAATGAGTCAACCTATGTAAAATATTGAACATCTTTGTTGTATGTGGCATTGAAACTCAGTAGTTTGTGAAGTTTTGAAGAGAGGTGGCCTCTTCCCTTAGAAGGGCCACCATGTCCTTTTTTATAGCCATACCTCCTAGAGCAAACCAAACGACTGTCTCAGAACCTGTCAGTGGATTTCTGTGAGGAGCATAGAGACCCCTTTCAAAGGCAGAGGGCGCTGAGTGCTGTTAGCATCCTCACCATCACCATGCAGGGTAAGTTCTGCTTCCTAACCCAAGGGAGAGCCTAACTTCAATCATATCCTTCCATTCTTCCTCTCTTCGGTGTTCTCCTCCCTTCCCCCACCCCCCACCCCAATGCCCTCTGCAACCCACATACTTCTTGCAAAGAGTGATTTCCTGTGCCTTTTTGGAGCATGTGAGCAAAGTGGTTTGGAAGAAGGGGTCTTCCCTGTAGGCCCACCCTGAGTTGGCACTTGGATAGGACAAGAGCACACACAGAATCTCTTGATTTGGCGAGGCAGTCACAGGAGGTCTCAGTGACAATGATACACAGCCTAGAAGAGAAGACATAGAAATTTCTAGTAGATGGCAGTTGTCATTGAAGTTAGAGTTAGGACTGTGGCATGGACATAGGAGACCTGTGTAAGCAGGCTGGATCCATCTGATGGACCCGGTTAACAGCAGGTAATAAGGACCAACTAAAGGGTTGGTGTTCAAGGACAGGACTCAAGTCACTGTAAGGAGAGGGTCAAATGGATCACTTAGCACTTTTGTGCCTATTGAATCACCTCATTTGGCCTGCATGAGTCTCTGAAATGGTTCCAGGAAAATCAGAACTACAGCTGCTTTCAGACCTGAACTCAACCAGGTTATAGAGTGCTGCTTGTCTCTGAGAAAAGATGCTCCTGTCTGAATATCTCTCCTGCCCCTGAGCCCTGAAAGCTCTTGTGCCCCTGTTACAGCTGTCAGCATGGTCTGCCTCGAGTGAACATAGCATGCGCTTATGTCTCTCTCTCCCAGGGGTTCACAATATAATGACTTGTATACAAGCATAAAGACTTGATGTACTTGATTACACCACAAGCAAGTTGTATGTGGAAAACCTTTCTGGCTACACCAGTCAGTGCCCTTCTTGGCTGGTCACGTTGTGTCACAAGAGACCCTGGGGAAGAGGGAGGAAGGAATACAGAAAGCAGCCAGACCAGTTCAGAGATCACTCCTCAACTGCTCTTTCATTCTCCTTCTCCAGAACAAGAAAAATCCCAGGAGCCTTGCCTCCCATGTGGGAAAAATCTGGCATCCAAATACCTCATCTGGAACTGTAGTCCCCAGTGGCTACGCTTTAAGAAGGCCTTGAGAACTGTGATGACCGACCCGTTTACTGAGCTGGTCATCACCCTCTGCATCATAATCAACACTCTCTTCTTGGCCATGGAGCATCACAACATGGACAAGGATTTTGAGTTTATGTTGCAAACAGGAAATTTGGTAACTTTAGGTTTTTTACAATATAAAACACATTTCAGACTTTGAATTCTCTCTTTCGAAGTCTAAACATTTTGTAAGTGGCCCAACCTAACCTAGGTCTTTGGTACTCTTATGTGGAGTAGAGTGAAAGGATGACTTTTAGGATTTTGCATTTACCCAGTTCAGTAATTTCCCATGGACTCTGTGTTGACCCTCTAGTATATTAAAGTGTCTTTTTAGTCATCCAGTAGATAACTAAAGAATCACTCAGTGGTAAGTCAGAAGCAAGTAAACATCTTAAAATGTCAACCATTTGGGATAATTAAGAAAACATTAACTATATCCAGAGGCCCTTTGTAATGAGTACCATGGTCCCTGGTGATACTGATGACATCATTTGTCACAAAATAATGTGATTGCCATTACTAGGTGTTATTCCCCTGGAAAGATGAGTCAGGGCCTGGGTTTGCTTTCTGGGAAGGAGGTGTCTGGAGCTGGAGGGTTGGGGTGGGGGTAGGGTTTCATATGTTTCCATTTGGATGGATATAGTCTTAGTTAGATTGGGTAAACTGAGATAAGAGAGTGTACTGCATAATTCCTGCAGAAGGCATTTTTCCCCAAAGGAAAATTAGTCTTCCAAATATCATAAATAACAAATAATTACTCATTGAATATTCTAACCTAATTAGCTCATGAGTTAATAGGCTAAAAATCTTACCAAAATGTCTAGTCATTTCTTCTTGAAGCTTTATTTTTCCAATTTAAAAATCAATACATGCTTTTTAAAATTTTAAAAATAAGGGAAAATACAAAGAAAAGAAATATAAAGAAAGTCCTTTCCAATGGTTCTACGAGCAAAGATAATCATTATTTAGCATTGCTGAGTGTTTCCAGGCAGTATGTATGTATGTATGTATGTATGCATGTATTTTTATTCTTTTTTTTACATTGATGAGTACCCACTGTACCTATTGAATCAGAAGTTGGTCCACAGAGCTGCTTCTATGCATTGAGTTTAGGATGGGGTAGAACTGGAGATGGGTACCCCTCACCCTTAGTCCCACATTCCTCCCAGGAGGACCAGGGCTCCAGCGAGACCACAATGCAAGGTCAGGGTGGTTCTCCTTAAAGACAGTCTGTGTCTAAGTTCCTTTCCCCATACTGCCTTTCAGAAGAAATGCCCTGTGGGTGTGTATGAATCGCATTCGATTCCATGCTACATGATAAACCCAACACACACTGTACCTTCTGACAGGTGAGGTCTTCTGGGCTCCAGGCTAGTGTATTCAGCTATTTCCTGCTCGGGCACTCCAAGAATGGGCTGATGGTATTGTTTCACTTGGAAGCTGAATGCTGTACCTTCATGGCCATGCTTCCTACCTCAACCGTCGGCAGACCCCTCTTTCAGCACCTCCTCCTGGTGGATGGAGTTATTGGATAAGTTCCAGAGAATGCCCAAAGAACCCAGAGTCACCCCCCTGGACAGGGCTTTGCAACTGCAAAGGTGGTCTGTCCACCACTTTATCAGCCGGTCCAACTGTGGGAAGTGACAAAAGCCCCCTCTCAGATTTCCCACTGGCAAGGCATCCTGGATGTTGAGATAAAGCTGCATTTTTCAGTCAGAAGCTGGCTCATTAAATCACTTTCTTCTTCACTCTCACTAGAAGCAGAAAGAAAGCACAGGGACGTTGTTGGTGTCTGAGGACACGGGCAGCACCTCCTGAAAATTGATGAGAAACTTGTAGCGCTGGCCACCTAGCCTGTGCTTCCATTCCATGTGCACCGTGCCCTAGGCACACAATACAAAGGTGGCAGCCACCCATCTATTATGTCCCTATGTTGCTGATGGAGGGGAGGCATGGGAGCCTTGAGTTCCAAAGAACGCATCCAAACCTCCCTCCTCTGATGGGTGGACTTATAGGACTGGACTTGGAAATGGACTCTCTAGGCTCCAGGATTGCTCAAATCAGGGGAGTACATTAAGCTCCCAAGAGGCCATCCATAGCAGTGGAATTGGACTGCAAAACCAATGGTCCCAAGGCCTCAGGGAGACTGTAGGGCTAGTCACCTACCGGTAAAGCCTGAAGGCGACAGGAGGAAGAGGAGCGTGTCAGAAGGGGACAGGGATCCGTCCAGCACAGTGAACTAGAACAGGCAACACTGCCTGCCTTTAGGCACCAGGTGTGGCATTGGGCAGGGGTAGACAGCAATATTTAAAGGGAAAAGATAGATATAAGCTTTGAATTTTATTTGCCACCCTTGATTTCTTTTTATTTGCCTATTATGGATTTATCTTTTCCTATCCTTTTAACTTATGTCACTTTATTTTAGGGATTTAAAAAATAAATCTTAAGTAATTATTCATAAGAAACAGATCATGTTACTTTTAATAGGAAGAATTAATCAATAATGAGTGGTTGTTTTTTCCCAGAATTGTAGAGGAGAGAGTCTTATAACTGACAGCATTTTAAAAGACTTTAACCCTTTTTGTATTACCTTATCATTTTCATACTGTTGTTTTTCTCCTTTTTATTTCTGTGTGTGTGTGTGTGTGTGTGTGTGTGTGTGTGTGTGATGGAGAATGTGCTGTTTGCTATGAGGATATGCTTTGATTATCTTCTGAAAGATAGTTTTGAATTTAGCTACTACTTATTCAACATTGTGCAAGTTTCTTAAGCCTGTATTTACCTGATTATCAAAAACAAGGCAAAAATTATTTTTGCCTATGGTGCTATAATTTAGCATTTTTAAAAAACTGTTACCTCTCCTTTTAATTCTTTGATATTTTGTTCTGGAATGAAGGGCCCTGCATGCTGAGTGAGTTTTAGGGTTATATTCCAACTCACCAATCCTCCTTTCAACTATAGTCAATCTGAGGTTTATCCTGTGAGTTGCTCAAAGACACTTTTCTGTCCCTAGTAATGTTTTTCAGTTCTCTGTTCTGGGCCCCTTTTAAATTTTTTTCTGATCAAGGTACTAAGATTGAGTGGTTAGGTGAGCTCCTCCTGGATTCTGGTTTATGGAGGGTGTCTTTCTTTAATTCATAGAGCTGTTGTGTAGTTCCCCGTTTTGGAGTTCTTACCCTTTGGTATTTTTAAAGAATTTAGCAGAATGAATTGATACTTCCTATCATTCTGCCGTCTACCAAGAAGCCAGCTTTGCTTTAATTTCAACAGAATGAGAAATATTTTTTCTCCATCCTGAGATGTCTGCGAGCTTGATAACATTGAACTGGGCACCATGGAAGGGGATGGAGAGAGAGCAAAGGTAGAGTAAGGTTCATGCTATAGCAGTTAAATATTTATTTCCATGGATTTTAGGGGATATTGTGCAACCAGGAGAATGCATTGTATTTCTCTGTAACTCCTGTAATTCCCTGGAACCATTCTTTTTTTTTCTTTTTTTCTTTTTTCCTGGAACCATTCTTAACGTGTGTGTTCGAAAAGAGGTGGCTTCCTTTTCCCACTTTTCTTTGTCTCAATGTAGGTTTTCACTGGCATTTTTATAGCAGAAATGTGCCTAAAAATCATTGCGCTCGATCCCTACCACTACTTTCGCCGAGGCTGGAACATTTTTGACAGCATTGTTGCTCTTCTGAGTTTTGTAGATGTGATGATGCCGCAAAGTTTGCCAGTTTTCCGATCCTTCAGAGTGGTAAGATACTTACTTTCTTATTTTGCTGAATAACTTAGCAGCCAGGATTGAAAAGAGTCTTCAGTGAGTTCAGTGGCTAATTTGGATTAATGAGTTCATCTTACGTTAATCAGAGAACCCAAAACATACTACTCTTCCTACTCAGGTCTTTAATAAATGCCCTTGGGAGTCCCAGGGGCCTTCTCTCAGCTGAACCCCTACTCTCCCCTCCACCCTTCCCAGATGAGCCTTTAGGCAACCAGTTGCAAAATGTGTCTTATGGTGTCAGGACTCTGCCCTTTGTCACCCCAATGATCTCTTCCTCCACGGAGCTCTGAGCCAGGCATCCTCATTTCAGGACTCATCAAGTGCGTTTAGACTCCAGAGCCCAGGAAAGGGATGGGCACTGCTGGTGGCAGGCGCTTTCTCACAAGTCCCTCCTCAGGGCTGCTAGTGCCACATTCCACATGTCACAGCCATTGGAGGCATCCTGGCAACCTTAGCAGAGTACCTAATGTTAATTGACAAAGGGAATGCTCAGAGACGAGGAAAGCACTGTCTTCAAGGAGCTATAGTTTAGGGATGATACAAGACAGGCCCAGAAATGGCATGAAGCAAAGTAGAGTATGACCAAGCCCACAAGAGGTCGGACAGAAATCTATTGAGAAATCACATCTGAGTGGGAAATAGGGAACCATAAAAGGTGGCCTTTTGTCCTCTCTCAAAGGTTAATTTGGCATAGATAGGATTTCTAAGCCTCTAGAGCAGTGGTTCTCAACCTTCCTAATCCACGACCCTTTAATACAGTTCCTCATGTTGTGGTGACCCCCAATTTCATTGTTACAAATTGAACATAATTAAAGCATAGTGATTAATCACAAAATCAATATGTAATTATATATGTGGTTTTTACTATTGTTTAGGCTTATTACACCCACACGCTTAGCGAGGAACTCTGGCGTTGTCCGCATATGAGATACAGTTTCTCCCAGCTCCACCCTGAGCAGACGGTGGTGGTCTTTCTCTTGGGACATAAGACTTCCCGACCTGCAGTATTTCCACCCCCAGATAGTTGATACCTAACAAGATTGTACTTTGGACTTAAACCACAGTTTATATTGAAAGTTAATATAAAAAATAACCTATGAAACTAGTTGCTGTGTTTTCTCCAAGGTTATTGTCTCTAACATATCTGTAAGGTTTCATGGAGGAAAATCCTCTTCGGAAAAAAGTGTGTGTGTTTTGAGTAACCGATTGCCTGTCCTCTCCTGAGTAAAAACATCATATGACATTCATCATTGTCATAAAGTTTAGATTCAGACTTGTGCTCTGAACGATATAGTGCAGGAGTTAGCAAACTTGTCCTTTAAAAGGCCAAATGGTAAATATCGTTGGCCTTACAGGCCTTACAGTCATGTGGTCTCTGTGAAAACCATTCAGCTTTGTCATTGTAACACAAATGTAGTCCTAGATGTTCGAGAATGAATGGACGCGGCTGCGTTCCAATAAAACTGTACAAATGTGGAAATTTGAACTTCATATAATTTTTACGTGTCATAAAATTATCCTTCTCTTGATTATTTTCCAACCATTTAAAAATGTAGAAAATGTCCTTACCTCTCAGGCCATACAAAACAGGCAATGGGATGGATGTGACCCTTAGGCCTGAGGGTTTTTTGCCTCAGATACATATTTTCTATAATAAGCATGTATGCTCAGTTCCATCATCATGCCCCCAAAGTCTTTATCATTTGAAAATAACTCGAACAAAATATTTTCATTTTTATTTATTTTTTATTTATTTTTTATTTTTTTACGGGGGCGGGCGGCGGGGGGCTGCGGGCCGGGCTGGAGGAGGGGGCTGGCGGGGAGGTGCTTCCGGAGCAGTGGACCCCTCCCCCGGCCCTCCTCCCCTCGGCGCCCTCCTCCCCCTCCCTCCGCAGGTCCCTCGTGATATTTTCATTTTTAAAACCAAAAGTAGATACAGGTGAGTATCGGATTGGGATATGGAGTTGGTGGCAATGTTTAGGATGGATTGGCTTTGAAAAGGTTTTTGAAAGTCATAAATGCTGTGGCTTGAGACCATGTCATTTGTTTTGTGACTGAACAGATAGAATTTGTCCTTAACTGGCTTTTCTTTCCTTTTTGTTCATTGTCTGTGTCTACAGCTGAGGGTCTTCAAGTTAGCCAAATCTTGGCCGACTTTAAACACACTGATTAAGATCATAGGCCACTCTGTTGGAGCCCTGGGAAACCTGACTGTGGTCCTGGCCATTGTGATCTTTATTTTCTCAGTGGTTGGCATGCAGCTGTTTGGCTCTAGTTTCAGCTGTGAAAAGAAAAATCCAAAAGCCTGTGATTCTACGACATCCCCATGTTTTCGACGCTGGCACATGGGGGATTTCTACCACTCCTTCCTGGTGGTGTTCCGCATCCTCTGCGGGGAATGGATCGAGAACATGTGGGAATGTATGATGGAAGCTGATAAATACCTGTGCATTGTGGTCTTCTTGTTGATCATGGTGATAGGAAAACTCGTGGTGAGTGTCTTAGACTTTTTAACATGAAAATACATGAACTAAAGAAACACTAGCTTCTTTTGCAACATTTCACTAGTGATATTCTTATTCTAAACAGAATATTATGATATTATATAATATTAATAATTTGTGTTTGAATTTGGCTTAAGGCAAGTATGATAAGCATGAAACCAAACCTTCTTGTCGCAATAGTGCTTGTGTTGACTGATGTCCCAATAGCTATTCTATTCCAGATGATTATTCTAAGATAATCATCATATTCTCTTTGCCAGTGATTGGCTGGAGGGGTTTGTGACTAAATTTGGTCAATATGATGTAAAGGGATGTCCACTGAGGAAGGTTTCTTATTCTTTAAAAAAATATCTATCTATCATCTATCTATCTATCTATCTATCTATCTATCTATCTATCTATCTATCTATCTATCATTGATTTCAGAGAGGAGGGGAGAGGGACAGATAGATAGAAACATCAATGATGAAAGAGAATCATTGATGGGTTGCCTTCTGCATGCCCCCTACTGGGGATCGAGCCCGCAATCCAGGCATGTTTCTTTGACCAGAATTAAACCTGGGATCCTTCAGACCACAGGCTGATGCTCTATCCACTGATCTAAACAGGCTAGGGCAGGTTTCTTATTCTTAAAGAAGAAGAAAAGGGGACAAGGGAACAAATGGTATTTTTACTTCCTCTGGGCCATTTTATGACAGGGATTCTGGATAGAACTGTAAACATGCAGCCACCAGAAGAACCAGATAAGGCAAAACCAGCACTGAGGAAGGTAGACGCAACAACACGTCTACCTGTCATACCTAGTTCCCTGTTTTATTTTCAAACTTCTTGCATTTCCTTATTGTGTAAGCTGACTTGAGTTTGTTACTTGCAGTTGGAAACATAGGTATTTATGGAGTGGCTAATTAGGCATCTACCAGTGAGGGTGTGAAGAGACAGGAGACACCCAAGGACACCTGAGTTGGGGCTATGGTGCAAATATAATTAGGTATCTGCACATGGTGGTTTATCCTAAGAACCCAAGGAGAGTGTAGATAGATAGTGAGTGATACAAAAGTTCAGGAGAGTGGGACACCACCAATGGGAGTGGGGAAGGGATCATTAAGAAATGATTTGTGTAAGATAAGGTACTTGAGAATGGCATTTAAGAGGCAAGGAGAACTGAGCAGCTAGAGGAGAGCTTGAGCAAAGATCCAGAGTTGGAAATTCTCACGGTGAAGCTGAAAAATATTGGCTAGACCCATTCACACCCACCAGACACTTCTCCCTGAAGGATGTATATTTTTGAGTTGGTGCGAGCCACAGAGGAGTTTGAGGAGGTAAAGATGATGGATTCGGGGTGTGTAAATGTAAGCAAAAATCCCAAGCAGGGCGCTGTGGAGATGATCTGAATTTAAGGTGATATGTGCTTCAATAGAAGAGTTGTAGATTTGATTCAAACCCTTCTGCCTCAGCGCCAGTACTTACTGCAGTTCAGGCAGTGGGATCTAAAGAGCCTGCACAAAGTACACCAAGTCTCAAATTTTGCAAACAGTAGAGGACCCCACAGCAGTCTTAGACATCAGGCCCATATCCCTGTGGGCAATTCTAACATAAGTGTCCAAGATTATGATTCTGGCTGATTCATAAGGAATATACTTTTGATTATACCACATGGTAAAAATGTTCTGCTTTCCTCTGGCCAGAGTCTACAATAGGTATTGCTTATATGTAGATAAGCTGGATTTGGCTGTTTGTACCCCTTAACATCACTTTTTCTTTTGTCTTATCTTGCTATCTCGATTACTCCTCAATCTCTTCTCTTTTTATTTATTTTATAGATGAAATTTCTTGAGAAATAGAAGGACATAGAAATCTCATTTGACTTGGTTTTGGGTCTTGGGGAAAATTGTACTGGAAACCTACTGTGTCCTTTCGTTTGCTAAATTGTCCATTCTGCTTGTGCCCCCACTCCAACCCCTCCCCAGGTTCTCAACCTCTTCATTGCCTTGCTGCTCAATTCCTTCAGCAATGAAGAGAGGGATGGAAACTTGGAGGGAGAGTCCAGGAAAACCAAAGTCCAGTTAGCCCTGGATCGTTTCCACCGGGCTTTCCGTTTTGTGATACGTACTCTGGAGCAATTTTGTCGCAAACGATGCAGGAGGCAGAAGTTACCAAAGCAAAAAGAGGTGACAGAAAGCTCTTCTGCAGAGAACAAAGACGTCATTCCCCTGGTCACAGGGATTAAAAGAGGCCCAGAGACCTGGGAAGAGTCCAGCGTACTAACTCCTGCACCAAAGCCCTTGAGTGTTAGGCCCGATCGGACATGGTTGGCCCCACTTGCAGAGGAAGAAGATATTCGATCTCCTGTAGACAATGAACAGCCTGTCACACAACCCGAGTCTGGGGAGCAGGTATGAAGGTTCACACAGAGGTTGACTTAGAGCTTGTGCGGAGCTAGAGTTGCTACAGGGCACTGGTGCACGATGCATGGATAATAAGGGGAGAATATGTGGTGGCTGCCCCTCAATGCCATGTGCCCATCCCAGGGCTGTGCTGATCATGGCCCTGTACATGTGGCACCGATGAGAGGTGTTGGAGGAGCTCAGAGGGGAGCGAGATCAGAGTACGCTGGGGCAACGGGAGAATCAAGTGCCTTTAGTTGAGCCCTAAAAGAATTTGGGTTGGATAAAAGGTGAGGAAAGAGTGTGGAAAGTGAAGTGAATAGCATAGAAAAAGAGACAGTGATAGGAAAAAACTCAGAAGGGTCTTGGGGAAAATTGTTCTGGAAACCGACGATATCCTCTCATTTGCGGAATTGTCCATTCTGCTTGTGCCCCTACTCCAACCCCTCCCAGGTACTCAGCCTCTTCATTGCCTTGCTGATGGATGCAGGGATCAGTGGTGGGGCTCATGGGTGAGGAGTGGTGGGTGATGAGGGCTGTCAATTCCTTTTACCCATATAATATCTTTATAATTGCCCCATAGGTCTTGGGTATTCCCTTCTGAGTTATTTTTCCTCCATATTTTTCTCTTTGCTTTTTTCTTTTGGAGGTGTCTGTGCAGATATCCTCAAACTCAGAGATTCTTTCCTTAGCTGTGTCCAGTCTACTAAAGCCCATCAGTGGCATTCTTCATTTTTGTTACATTTTTTACCTCCAGTGTTTGTTTTTTGTTCTTTCTTAGAATTTCCATTGCTCTGATTAAATTGCCTGTGCATTCTCACATGCTGTCTACTGTATCCATCAGAGCCCTTAGCATTTTAATCATGTTGTTTTAAGTTCCTGGTCTGATTAAATTGAACATCTTTGTCATATTGAGTCTGGTTCTGATGCCTGCTCTGCCTCTTCAAACTACATTTTTTGCCTTTTAGTATGTGTTGTGGCTTTTTTTTTTTCATACTTGGACATGATGCATTGGTAATGAAACTGCTGTAAATAGGCCTTTAGTTATATGTTGGTGAGGTGGGGGCGGGGGGCGGGGAACGGAAGAGATCTATCAGAGAGGAGAAGGGAGAGGGGAGAATTCACAAGTATATGGAAATTAAGCAAAACATTCTTAAATAACCAAGTCAAAGAAGAAATCACAAAAATATTTTAAATACTTAAAGATAAATAGAAATTAAAATACCATATGTCAAAATTGTTGGATGCAGTTGGCTGCTCTCCCTTTTTTTCTCCCTCTCCTTCCTCTATGCTGAGGTCTCAGGCTTTCAGGGAGCCTGAGCCTCTGGACTCTGGACTTCACAGTGATTCTCAGTAGCCCCGACCTTAGGTGGGAGGGAATGGCTAGAGTAAGCTGGAGTTGGCTATTTCCTTCCTTCCACGTGGAAATCTCGAGCTGGCTGGAATAGGGGATTATCCTTCCCCCAGGTCAGTAAGAACGTGATCAAACCCAGCAGGTTAGGTTCTGATGAACTAGTTTCTCTTGGGGGCAGGGCTTGTTAGGAAGAACAGAATACTCTCATACCATTCAAAATGATATCTTTTACCCTGCCCCTGCTGAAAGCATGAGGGGATTTTCCTCCAGTATTCACTCTGAGAACTTGGTAGAGCTCCAAGCGGTAAAACCTGAAGATGGTCCTATGGAGCTTGTATCTCTTAAACGTGCCCACCCTTAGCCTGCAGCAGTTTGTCAATTACAGTTCAGGTTTCCCTACTCTGGCACTGTTCCTATGGAGTTTGTTTGCCTCTGGGTTTCTGCTCAGGTAAGTTGTGGTTCTCTGTATTGGGGCTGGGGTCAGCATTTGCGCTCAACCTCACTTATGAATCTAAAAAGAATTGTTTATTTTCCATTTTGTACAGCTTTTAACTTGTTAGGATGGAGTGTTAAAACCTTCCAGGTGTCAGCCTAGAAACTGGAAGTCTCTGGGAAGTTTCTAAATTATAAATTCAATCTCTTTACTTGCTGTAGGGCTATTCAGATTTTCTATTTCTTATGGAGTCTGTTGTGGAAGATTTTTAAATTTTATTTCTAGAAATATGTCTGTTTTATTAAAGTTATCTAATTTGTTGACATATAGTGTTTGTTTTTTTCTTGAGTAAATTCACCTCCCAGTAGTTACTTTGGGGAGGGGGGGGGGGTGGGGAGCAGCTATTTATTTTATGTTTATCTCATATTTTGGAGTGTTAGTTTAAAAATTCATCTTTGGTGGGAAGATCTGTCACTCACTTTAAGTTCTCTGATGTCTTCAATGGATGTTTATAGGTCATCCATTTCAGAATCAAGTCTTATATAGCCAATTTTGGATTACTGTCAAATAGTGGTACTAAGCATATTGCATATCCAGTCACTGACCAGTGGGTTCTTTTGCTCAGGTCCTACTTCTGAGGCCTCCTTAGGTATGCAGCTCTGTATAATCATAACTCCAAGCATTGGCCAGAGCTTATTTTGGCTCCCTCTCTTAAGTTCAAGAACTTCAACCCAGCAGTTGAAGTTTCAAGCTTTGGATGTAGTTATGATTCTGATCCTCACAGGGGGCACTTTTAGCCATTTACCTACTATGTGCTTTAAATTGTTACTATTTTTTATTTCTGTTCTCTGTCTGGTCCATAGGTATATTTACCTGTTTTTGTGTGTGTATGTTTGTGGGTGTGTGTCTGTGTGTGTTATTACATGTGTTCAAAAGGAGAAGTGTTCTTAAATCATGACCTTGCAGTGTCAGATTTACTGGAACTCTCACACAGATTTTTGGATAAAACCCTCACCTAAAGTGCGACTTCACATCCTTTTTGGATATCCCTGCAAGTCATCAGACACAATTTTTTTAAATTTATTTTTTATAATTTATTTTTATGTAGTAATACATTTTCATATTTTCTTTTATACCTTTTGATTTTGATAAGCTAACCTATTTTCCAAAAATTTCTTCTTTTTTGCTCATCTATTTTTACATCAAATTATGAATTTTATTTTTACTATACTCTGGTATTGTATTAATTTTTCAGGGGTAGCTAATTATACCAATACCATTTATTAAATAATTTATTATTTAGCTGTGAATTGAAAGGCCACAATAAGTTTTACCTCTGAAGTTTTTGGTGAATATTGTGCCAGAACCATATTATGTTTATATTACTTCTGAGTAAATTTTGTTATCTGTTTTCTATAGTATAGGGTGTCCCAAAATTCACGCAAGATTTGAATTTTGCGTGAGCATTAACAACAACAACAACAAAAAATAAAAGCCTAATTTTACTTGGTTTATTGAATCAGATTCTAATATCTGTTGCCCTTTGATTTCCATCCCTTCAATTTGATAAGCATTACCAAGTACCAATTATGGCCCAGGAGCAGGGACAATGAAGACCAATGAAGACCACGGCTTTGTGTATGTGCCAGCAAAGCTGTGGAGGCCATTTACCCAATGTGCTATTCCATACATAACCCTATACTATATACTTTATGAACCAATTAAAAAGTTACAATTTTTAATTGTAAACCTGTGTTTTCTATCAAAATTACTTCTTGCGTGAATTTTGGGACACCTTATATTTTCTCCAGATTTGTTTTATGTTGAGTTTTTCCACAGTTTTAAAAACTGAAAAGAAAAAGAATAACAATGTCATAATTTTCATAACAAATAGAAAACCAAAGAAAATGCAGTCTTGTTTCATCTCAAGCGAGATTTCCAGGAGGAATATTAATTCTACTCTGGTCTTCTCTGTATTCAGGCCTATGAGCTCGATCAGAAGGACAAGTCCACCAGTCTAAGAGTTCAAAATGTGGAAATTGAGGTGTTCTCTGAAGATGATGCTTATATACCAGTACAGAATACCCGAAAGGTAATTTCCCCAGCATGTTTCCAGAAGGAACATGTGGCATGATCATCCATACACCTTCTCTAAGAGAGCCATTGTGGAAAATATCAAGACTAGTGCAGAGAAAACTTCTGGGGTCACATCTTAAGCAAAGGTCTATACCAAGGTTTCTCAACCTCTCCACTATGACATTTGGGGCAGGATAATTCTTTGTTGTGGTGGGCTGTTCTGTGTATTTTAGGATGCTTAAAAGCATCCTTGGCGTCTACTGTCTAGATCCCAGTAGCATTCCCCAGTTGTGAAAATAAAAAATTTCTCTAGACTTTGCCAAAATATCTCCTGGAGGGGGAAACCATTGAGAACCACTGGTGTAGGCCTATTATTCCAGGAGTTGGGATAGCTGAATATTACAGTCTCAGTAAGTAGCCTTCTCCTCATCACCTGGCTTCCCTGTTTGGGGTTAGGCAGCTGACCAGGGGTGTGATTTTAAGGGAGGAAAAGGTTGAGATACTATGTCTTTATACTCCTTCCCTTTCTTCCACCAGGGGAGAGCAATTAGAGAATTCTCTCCTGAAGTCAGGGCTGGTCAGAGCATTTGGAAAAGGACCCAATAAGAGGGATACTTTCTTGATTCCCCTCATACCTAGAAGCCTTTTCCTGGTTAGTTTCATACCTAAAAAGTCATATTTTTAATAAGGTATTAGGTACTACCATGGTGAGAGAGGATGTTGATAAATGATTCTCCCTTTCCTTTGTTCTGATGCACAGAAGTCTGATGCTATCAGTGTGCTCTCGGAATGTAGCACCATTGACCTGCAAGATCCCTTTAGGCGGATACCTGAAATGGTTCCCCAAAAGGAACCAGAGAGATGTTTTCCCAAAGGTAAGTGGTAGTATTCTTGCATCCAACTCACAGATTATTTGGATGGGATTCTGTTATTCTTTGAAGTTCTGTGGTTTTGATATATTCATTTTTTCTACTTCTACTGGAGACAAAAGTGAAGAGAGGTCACTCATAGGTTCTTGGGGTCATTATCAGGTCTAGTCTTGATTTGGGTAGGCTCAGATTACAGAGACTAACAACCAGGGTAGAAACTCCAGAAAACTTTCCAGAAAGCCCAGTGAGCCAATATGTCCACCACTTTGTAGAGTCCCCAGTACATCAGTTGTCAGGATATACTTGAGTCATAGAGTAAAAGAACTTGACTGTAAGTTTAGGGTTGACTAAAACCCCTGCCAGGCCTTCAACTCATTCCTCAAAATTCTTCTCTGGACACAGGATAACATTGTAGCTAAGAGCTTCGTCTCTGGAGCCAGACTGCCTGAGCTCAAATTCTGGCTTCTCTATGTTTAATTTCATTAACCTCTCTGTGCCTCATTTACAAAATGGTATAATAATAGTACCTGCTGAAAGGGTTGTTATAGGTCTGAAATGAATGAATATAAATCACTTAGAAGAGTGCCTGGCACATAATAAGCAATCAACAAATGCAGCATTCTCTGATTCCTTGAGTGGATGTAATGGTTTCTCCCTGTGTGCCTTCATTATTTTTTGTATTCATTGAGGGGAATTTATTTCTGTCCGTCTCTCCCATGAGGTTCTCAAACACAAAAGCAATATTATTGTATCTCTATTGTGAGAATAGAACCTGCCCTGATTATGGGCTCAATAAATGTTAAGCACATAAATAAGTAACTTAACAAATGAATAAATGAATCTAAAAATTAAAAATTTCTCCATCAGTTTTGGGCTAGGCTGGGTTCAAAAGGAATACTAAGAATGGGTTTTAGTGTTGTTTGACAGCTCTAAAGCTGCCCAGGGGGTCAGAGGTCAGGCTAGGGCTAGATTGCTATTCTCTTGACTTCCATTTGGACTGGTCCTTGAGGTATGGAGAGGATGTCAGCAATGAAGATGGAGGCAAAAGGGGGGGGGATGGTTCTAGAAGAAGAGAGGAGTAGGGTAAGAGAAATACTATTTTAGGAAAATTAATTTATTGATGTTCTGAAAGATGGAGAGAGGTAAGGGGCAGACTGAGGAGACCTCACAGTGATTTAGGAAGATGACGAGAAAAGGAGTGGAATGCTGTAGTCACCATGAAGTAATAAGCATCCACAGAATTAGGAGGAGTGGAGGAGGAGACAAGGTAAAAAGGTGATGTGATTCATCTAGATGGCTTGTGTGTGTTGGGACCAAATGCTCAGCTATTTGTAAGTATCTTGACAATTGATCAGACTCTTCCATGGGTGGTTGATAAAGCCTGTGTCCATCCATGCCTCATTCCCTGCAGTTCTTAGGACACTGATTACTATTGCCAAAAACATTGCTGCATAACAAACAACCACAAGACCTCAGTAGCACACAGTGATAAACATGATTCAGCTCATCTAGGCTGGCTGTCTCTGCTGATCTTGGCTGCTTTATTCATGTGAGTGGTACTGACTAGGAGTTGGCTGATCTAGCCTGGGTTTAACTGCAATGTGGCTTCGTGTAACATGTCTGTCCTCTTCCTGGAACCAGTTAGCTGACCTGAATACACCTTTCTTTAAAAAAAAAAATGGGGTGGGTTTGTTGATTTCAGAGAGAAAGGGAGAGGGAGAGAGAGTTAGAAACATCAGTGATGAGAGAAAATCATTGATCGGCTGCCTTCTTCACACCCTCCACTGGGGATTGAGCTCAGAACCCTGGCATATGCCCTGACCAGGAATTGGAACTGTGACCTCCTGGATCATAGGTTGATGTTCAACCACTTAGCCACGCCAGCCTGGCATATACACCTTTCTTATGTAGATGGAGGAGAGCAGATGGAAACATGCAAGGCTGCATAGGGTCTAGGCTCAGAACTGGCTCACTCTGTGCTATTGGCCAAATCAAGTGACACAGCTAAGCCTAGATTCAATGGATTGGAAAAAGACTCTACCTCTTTAGTGTAAGGAATTGCAAAATCACACAGCAAGGGGCATGTGTACAGGGAGGGGTGAAGAGTTGGGTTGTTAATGTACTTTACTACAGACACTAATGGGCGTTCCTTGTAGGCCTGGCTTGCTGCTTCTCATGCTGTGCTGTGAACAAGAGAAAGTCCCCCTGGATCCTTTGGTGGAACCTGCGGAAAACCTGCTACCAAATAGTGAAACACAGCTGGTTTGAGAGCTTTATTATCTTTGTGATTCTGCTGAGCAGTGGGGCATTGGTAAATGATCATATCTTGTGGGGACATTGGGGAACAAGGCAGCTGGGGGAGCTGCATTCTGACTTTACCTTCATGGGGCTGTGAACGTGGGCAGAATAGGCACAAGTGGGATCTTTACTGCTGGTTCCCCTTGGGGATAGGATTTTGCAGAACAACTTCTGGACTCATGCTGCAAGTGGGAAGCCCCCGGGCCAAAGGCACTTTACCCACAGGGAATCATGACCCAACCTAGCACTCTAAAGTGGCCCCTGAAGTCTGGCCCTTTACCCCAGGTCTGTCTGTCATTCTTGGAGGATTTATAGACATTTCACTATATCCTACCAGTTTCCTCCTTTAGACAGCAGCACTCCTACACTCTTTTTTCTTGAAGACCATAATGCTGCTTTCTTAAAGATAAAATGTGAGGAGAAGGCTACAGGGACCAGAGGAGGGTATACTAAGTTGCCTTGGTGTTTTCTATCACTTATAATCCCTTGAGAGGAGACACAAAGAGATGCCACTTTATGTGCATGGCAGATCCTTTCAAACCGAGGTGTCTTGTGTCCCAGTGAGGTTTGGAAATAACTGAATCCATCAGCCTCCAGAACCACATAGTCATAAACTCCTTCCAGCTCTCTATCCTCACCTTTTGGTCCTTTTTGCCCCCCCCCCCCCCACTTCACCGCCCCCTTTGCTCCTATCACCAATCTCTCTCTCTCTCTCTCTCTCTCTCTCTCTCTCTCTCTCTCTCTCTCTCTCATTCTCCCTCCCTCCCTGTTTCCTTCCCTCCCTCCCTCCCTTCATCCCTCATTCTTGTGTCTTCCCTTAAAATGGCCATACTATAGAACTAAATTGTCTTCCTATTTGTTATGTCAAGTGAATGGAGCCCTGGGCTCCTCCTTTTGAATTTGGAGTCACAGAACACCTTGCAGTATGTTCCCAGCAAATAGAAGGGGACAGGGAAATGTCTCGCTTCTTTACCCCTGCCTTTCTGGTTAGTGCTCTACACCCGTGCAATCTCTGGGGGAAAGGAGATGAACACATACTGGGGCCCATCAGAGGCTATGACCAACAGACTCCTCATTTATCTCCTCACCACAGTGTAAATGATTCCTCCATCAAAAGAGCAGATTTCTCTAAAACTATCAAGAGAAGTTCCTTGATTAATTTCTATTGCTAGTCCTTGGCCTTTGGTTTCCTATAGTCTTCTGGTGATTACAATCTTACTGGCTGTCTACTCTCATTCAAGTGGTGGGGGGTTTTAATTTACTCCACAAATGGTACTTGGTGTCTACCAAGCCCTGTGCTAGTCAGTGGGAAAGCAGTGGTGCTATCAAAAGGCCGCACATGCCCCATGGCACCATGTGAGAAAAAGTATAATCAGAGAAATAGCAGATGACACACAATCCTCTTTCTCATCTGCCTTCAGCTGAGGCAAGTGTAGGCTGGGCAGAGTGAGTTGAACACACAAGCAGGGAGTTCCAGGAGAGGGATCCAGGCCCTGTTTCACTGTACATTATTTGCAGAGAAATAGAGAAAAGAAACACCTCGTTGATTGCCAGCAGCCTTAGTTAGCACATGGAAGCTTATTAAAAATGCAGTCTTGAGCCCACCCCAGACCTGCTAAATCAGAACCTAGGTGATTTGGGACTCACCAGAGTTTGAGAAGCTCTGGTCTGGGAAACTATGTAATAATGGGAGCTTCCTGGATTAGTAAGTGGCCTCATTATAATGTGGGAGCCCCCAAAGAGCAGTTGCTGATTATCAGCTTGCTCTTCCATTGAGCTAACTCAGACCTGCGGAGCCAGCTTGTTGCCAAGCTTCCAAAATGAGAGAGAAAATGAGCTTCCAAAGCCATTCATGCTTGTTTCTCTTAATGGAGTCTGGCAATTAGAGACCAGGACCATAGTGATATACTCAGAGAAGCAGTGAGTGACATGGGGCCGTGTAGGGTGGCAGCTAACCCAGTCTTGATGGAAGAAGTACGGTTTCCTATAGAAAAGGTGAGCTAATCTTTTAGGTCGAAGGGCTGACAAGGAGCCTATGGGGTGGAGGCAGAGCAGAGACGGAGGCCCTTCCCTAGTCAGTCCCACTGGGGAGTTGGAAGCAAAACGTACTCCTTTGCTTTCTTCCCCCCAGGGCCATGGAGCTGTGGAAACCTCGGTCCCCACAGCAGGGCTGCTTGCTTTCTTGCCCTCGGTGTTTGCCCAAATGTCCTGGCAGATTTAGTGTCAAGGCCCCTTCTCTCCTTCCTTTCATCTTCAGTAACTCTGGGAAGGCCAAAAAAAATAAACAGTGTGCATCCTCATTCTATAGACCCTGGAGCAGCACCCGCACACTTGGGCTGAAGGAAACGTTTGTACGTAGCATGAAAATGGGTCTCTCTGAAAGCTAGGGTGTCTCGTTTTCATAGTCACAATTAATGAATGTTTATTATTCAAAGTAATTTACACTGGGAGCTCTAGCCCATAGTGTCTCGAACTTTTGTATGACATGGTGCACATTCAAAATGATCAGGTGTGTTGGGAACACTAAGGCAAATAGGTAAGGCTGTTTGTGGTAGGAGATGATGGGCCTTGGGGTGGGCCAGATCAAGAGTGTGGACTAAGGTGTTTGGATTTGATGTTAAAAGCAACAGAGAGCCACTGAATAGAGCCTCTAAGGTAACTAGGAGGACAAAAGAGATAGTGTGTGTGTGCCATTCAGTGGTTTTAGAAAAGTGAGCAGGATTTTGTTGGCAAGAGTTGAAAGGATTAGGAAGACCAGGAAATGGTATGGTGATTTGTTAGGAAGATGTTTTTATACTCCAGGGGCCAGTGATGAGAGCCTGGGGAACATAGTGGCAACAGAAGTCTAGAAATAGGATTTTTCTTCTTCCAGTTTTACTTAAGGAATTTTTCCATTGGAAAAATTCAGCCTTAATACCTGTTGAGCAAAACTTTATCACCAAGAGAGATACTAGTTTATTCAAATAAGAAAGAAAAAAGAAAAAGTAAAGTCATCAAGGAGACCTGTGCAAATATTCAACCTGGCCTATGGCTTTATCATTTCAGATATTTGAAGATATTCACCTTGGTAAACAACCCAAAATCCAAGAATTACTTAAGTGTACTGACAATATTTTCACACACATTTTTATCCTGGAGATGGGTTTGAAATGGGTGGCCTTTGGATTTCGGAAGTATTTCACCAGTGCCTGGTGCTGGCTTGATTTCACCATTGTGATTGTAAGTGTACCATTTCTCTTAAGGGGTAAAGGAGGGTGGTGTCTGCAACTTTATCTCCAGCAACTTAGGAAAAAAATGAGAGAGAAAATGACAAAGCTGATGGGGTGAAATGTTAATCATCAGTGTGTATTTCTTTTATTTTTAAAAATATATTTTTATTGATTTCAGAGAAGAAGGGAGAGGGAGAGATAGAAACATCAGTGATGAGAGAGAATCATTGATTGGCTGCCTCCTGCACTAGAGCCCACAACCCGGGTATGTGCCCTTGGCTGGAATTGAACAAGGGACCCTTCAGTTCGCAGGCTGATGCACTATCCATTGAGCAAAACCAGCTAGGGCCATCAGTGTGTATTTCTAAGAACAAAGATATTATCTCACATAGTCACGGTGCAATTTTGACAGTAAATTTAACAAGATCCAATACTAAAAAAATCTATTTTCAGATTTTGTCAGTTGTTGCAACAAAGTCCTTTGTTTTCTGTATCCCATCCATCACACACCACACCCCAATCCAGTATCCAATTCAGGACCCCACATGACATATCATTGACATGATTTTTGGTTTCCTTTAATTCACAACAATTTCTCAGCTTTTCTTTATCTTTTATTAAACAACTAACGTAAATGCATCGTTCTTACCTGCACGAACTATAGTTTTGCCAGACAAGGAGGAAAGAGCCTCTCCATCCATTCTTCCCCTTCCAGCAGTGTCTGTGTGTCTGGATAATCCACCTGCCTCTTAGAATGAGGGCTCTCACCCCCACATTGTCTTCTCTGGGCATCCAGGCAGGCATACTACCCAGCAGGCTTCTCTTCCCACCAGGTGTCTGTGACTACTCTCATTGACGTAAAGGGCTTGAAATCCTTCCGGACTCTTCGCGCACTGAGGCCCCTGCGAGCTCTGTCCCAGTTTGAAGGAATGAAGGTACATTCTTCAGGTGCACGGGAGGGACTTTCTTCAGCCAGCAGGGAAAGGCGGAGCATTTCTCCCGGGGCTAAGAGGGCTTTCCTTAAATGGCCAAGCTTTTCTTGGCCTCCTCATCCAGCCCATTGCTTAGAATTTGAGAAATGGAGAAAAGTGTAAGAGAAAGCCACCATCCTAAAAGAGCTTCTGTGACATGGACTATGGCTTCCCTTTAATCCAAAGGCAGGTGTTCCATGGGTCTCCAACACCGTCATCAGAGGACACCTCTCCAGAGATCCCTAGTGGCACCTGAAAGGACCATTACCTATGCAGCTGAGAGCAGGGCTTGTTGTGGAGTGTGGGGAGGGGAGTGGCAGGTAAAGACAGGAGCTCTATGAGCCTCAGGCCTATCCTGGGACAAACAAGAGCATGATGAGTCTTCTATCTGTTATGTTTTTCTTCTGTTTTGTTTCCTTAAGGTGGTAGTTAATGCTCTCATAGGTGCCATACCTGCCATTCTCAATGTTTTGCTTGTCTGCCTCATTTTCTGGCTTATATTTTGTATCCTGGGAGTAAACTTGTTTTCTGGAAAATTTGGAAGATGCATGAATACAACAGCTAGCCCGGCTTTACTTATAAATTACACCATTATTGCAAACCGAAGTCAATGTATAAGTGAAAATTTCACCTGGGACAACCTGAAAGTCAACTTTGACAATGTGGGAATGGCTTACCTCGCCCTGCTGCAAGTGGTAAGTGCTGTCAGCATGTTTGTCACTCTTAGGAAAACCATAAATTATTTCTCAACGAATAAAACTACAGTGACTCCCCTGAGGTAAGAGAATCAAATCCCAGTTCCTCATGTGAGAGCCAGTGCCCTCTGGAATTGCTCTTCACTAAGCATCTCCAACTTTATTGTCTACTGAGCCTCAACCTTCAAGTGGTGCCCCTGTAGGGTCTGTCCCTCCTACCCTGCCATGGGTGGTGCCTTGTTCTTCAGAGCTCCAATCAGAGAGGAGAGGAACCTTGGAGGCCCGGCTGCGCCATTAGTAATGGTTTCTTGTTGGAAGTCAGTCCCAGGTCAAGCCACAGCTGCCAGGTCTTGGCCTGACAGTGCAGACAAACATAGCATCAGGAGAAGCCTTAAACAGGCTCTTTCCAACAATTGATTTGTAGCTTTTCTAGCAATTTTTAAGGCAGAACTTTCTTGTTTATAAACTTTATATTTTGTGTAAATTAATAATAAGAAAAATCCAAGACACCCATCCTTGCATTCCTTCCTACTGTCCTTTTACTTGGACATTCTGTCCTGGAAGGGTGCTACATCACCTTACACACATCTGCCCACTGGCCTTGCTTGCTTTTCCCTGGCATCTGTCTGTTGATGGCAAGTCTATAATTGTGTTCATGTTTATATACTTTTTGTTGCAGGCAACATTTAAGGGCTGGACAGATATTATGCATGCAGCTGTCGATGCCAGAGAGGTGAGCTTGTGTTTTACCATGTTCTCGAGTGCCGGGGTCAAAACAGGGATGTTATGATTACATCCTAGCATGCTCCAAAGTCCAGTCCTCTTTCTCCATAGTGGCCAAGGAGAAACCACTCATGTAGGACATGGAGCCAGAAACAGCAACAGAATCACAGGATGCCTTGATTTTCTTCTCTCAGCTTTTCTCCAAATGCGTGGGTAGGCAGAGCCACTTTTCAAAGGGCCCTTGCCCTTGACTGTGGGAAAATTGTAAGATGGGACTGGGTGTGAGCACAACAACCCCTCTCATGGCTTCAGGCTCTCCCAAGACTAAAGGGGTTTCTGCTGATTGTCAGCCGTTGAATTCTAGTTAAATAGAAAGTGGTCACGGATTCCAAAAGTTAGAAGAATACTCAGCGATCTCGTTTATTTCTATTTCTCAATTGGAAAATTGAGGAATTAAAAGGATGAGTGTTGTCCAAAGTCATATTGTGAACAGATGGTTGAATCAAGAATGGAATCAGCATTGTTTGTTTTTTCCTATCATCACACACGTGTGTGTCTGATGTTCCATTTGAGAGTCTTTAGAGTTGATGTCTGGCACATAGTAGGTATTCTTTACATGTGAGCTGGTAGTAGCACTAGAAGTGCTATGGGTAGTTATATGAGTGGTAGAGGCAATTTATAACCAAGGAAATATTTTAAAATATTAATGTGCTCATTTTTTTTGTCTGAGTAAATGACCTTTCTCCTAGTTTACTTTGAGCATCCATCTGCCTTGAGGTGGAGCTTGGGGATGGGGAGGAAATCTTATGCAGATGCGTGATAGAAAAGGTGTGTGGCTCACAAATGTGGGTGGAAGTATGTGGAGGGATATCTGTCCTGATGCTGGTCCTGGGACATTCTAGTTGGTGTGTGCTGGCTTCTAGCATCATGGCCATTCTCTGTGTAGTTGTGGAGAATCCTGCTAGTCTCAAATATTAAAATTATAAGTGGTTAACAGTGGGCATTTCTACCCCCCCAACTCTTCCTGGTCTCAAATACTGACTTGCTGCCATATTCCCTACATGGTCTCCTGGCCCAGCAGTCTACTCCATTCCTTGCTGTGAAGCCCACCATGGCAAACACATGGCTGTCAATCCCATGTCTACGTCACATGAGAACTGAAAAAAGTTTGAATGGCCTCTCTCTATCCCCAGCATCCGATGCTTTGAGTCACACTTTGAGCTGGGGAGCTTGGTTTTAATTCATTTGTGTCCATTCTGGAGCTTGATCATTCATTCATTCATTCATTCATTCATTCATGATATGCTACATGTCACAAGGTATGTTAGGCATCAGAGATTCAAGAGTGACAGGACATAAGCATAAACTAAATACGATGTGGGCTCTGTATGAAGGATGTAATTGTTCAACAGGAGTTGGCAGTTTGTCTGCCTCTGGTAGTCTCACCTCCAGTCTGACTTCCTCCCATGGCATTGCACCCTGAGCGAGGGGAAACTGAGGGGCTTTCTGCAGGCGCCATGGCTGTCTGGAGTGGGCTGAGGAGTTAATGCTGCTGCTGAGAATACTTGGTCTTCTAGATGAGGTAGCTAATATGGCTTATATTTCTCTCCAGTAATTATTTTCTTCTCTCATTAAAAAAATTCCTAGAAGGAAGACCAGCCAGCATTTGAGACGAACATATACATGTACCTTTACTTTGTATTTTTTATCATCTTTGGCTCATTCTTCACTCTAAATCTCTTTATTGGTGTTATAATTGATAACTTCAATCATCAGCAGAAAAAGATAAGTATCGGGGTTGTCCTGGTTTGGTATTTTACTTCTCTTCTCCAAAGCACTTGAGTGAAACATAATTCTGGTCTAGATGGTTGTGCAAAGTAGCCTTTATCATCAGCATGAGAACAAAGAGGGGGCCACCTAGAGAGAAAGCTTGAAGATGTGGCTGAAAAGGGACTAAAAACAACTGGGTTTTATTAAACCATTGTTTTATTTCTCCATTCTACTCTTTAACACAAAGGACATTGTTGAACCCTGATGAAAAGGCAATTACCAGGATCAGTATTTATGACATCACAGTGATATTTTAGTAATCTTTCAAGTGTAACTTGTTACCCAGAATAAAAAGAATACGCTCTATAAAAACAAACAAATAAATAAATAAATGAATGAATAAATAATTTTAAAAAGCCCTAGCTGGTTTGGCTCAGTGGATAGAGTGTCAGCCTGTGGACTGGAAGGGTCCCAGGTTCAATTCTGGTCAAGGGCACATACCTGGCTTGTGGACTCGATCCCCAGTAGGGGGCATGCAGGAGGCAGCCAATCAATGATTCTCTCTCATTGATGTTTCTGTCTCTCTCCCTCTCCCTTCCTCTCTGAAATCAATAAAAATAGGAAGGAAAGAAAGGAGGGAGGGAGGGAGGGAGGAAGGGAGGGAGGGTGGAAGGAAGGAAGGAAGGGGAAAAAAGAAAAAGAAAGGAAAGAAAAAATACTCTCCCCTATAGCAAACTGTGTCCTGGCTCCCAACACCCAAATTCAGCAGGTTCATTGGAACAACTGGGAAAGAAGATGGTTGGCGAAGAGGCAGATTGTTATAGGGAGGTTCCCCATGCATGTAATAAACATGCTTTTTTCCCTGATATTTACTGTTCATAGTAAATGTGGAAGATAAAAAGAAAATTTAAATCATCCATAAGGTGACCATCAAATGATAGCCATTTGGGATTAAGCCTCATCACTTTGGTACAATCCCTTCCAGTTACTTCCCAACTAAATATGTATTCCTTTTACACGCATGATATTTTTAATTTTGTAGCCCCCACCCCCTTCTCATTAGTCATGAGCCCATGTCATGAAATCATCTTTGTTGTAAGAATTTTGGGCGCTGAATTACATCCCATACTATGGATAGATCATAATTTATCCTGATCATTTTCCCCTTGCCTAGATATTTAGTTCAGTTCTAAATTTCTTGCTCTTCTAACACTGTCACAAACATTCTTGAATTTCTCTCTGTGTATCTGATTATTTCCTCAGGATAAGTTCTTAAATTTAAGGCATTAAAGATATACTATCAAATAACCTTTTAGAAATAGTGCTGGGTACACTCCTTTTGCAAGATATGAAAATGCCTCTTTGTTCTTTTCTCATCATTCTGGTTTTCATAATTTTTTAAACCTTTTCTAGCTTGATGGATAACAGTGTTATCTCATTGCTTTATATTCATTTACTTGATTGTTTGTGAGGTTATACATAGTTTCACAGGATGGTGGCCATAAGTATTTTTCTCTTAAGAGTTATGTTTTTAGACTTTGTCTCTTTTTAAAATTGAGATTGTCATCTTTTTCTTATATTTTTATATAGTAAGTCCAATTTGTGACTTGCTTCTTGTATTTTTATAGTGACCTTTTTGACTTACAGACATTTAGCATATTCATGGAGTCAAACTCCCAATCTTGACCTTTTTGACTTCTTCTCTTGCATTTCTGAATTCTAAAAACAGGTAACTAAATATTATTCATCTTTGGTTTTCCCAGTTTTGGGACGCTCTTTTTTTATTTTTCTGTTGAACTTTGTTAACCCATCTAGAATATACCTCGATACTGATGAGCCCTCCTGGTATCTGCAGGGAGAGCCAGTCACTACCTTTACGCAACTATTAGTCACTGCTGTTACTCGGGAGTGTGCTATGTGGAGTCACCTCTGTAATGTGCAATTTGATTGCAATCAATACCTGCAATTTGGGTGTCAGGCCTTATGATTTTAGGTTTCAGCTTACATTTGAAATCACTATTCTGATTAGACTATAGCAATTTTGTTTTGTTTTACTTTTTATTACAGAAAATTTCAAACATGCACAAGAGTATACTAAAATGAACCCAAACTACCTATCACCCATCACAACATTTATTGCTTTAAGAACACCCGTATGCTATCTGTGGCCTCACCCAAACCTGCCACTGGGTTTTTTTTTTGTAGAACTAATCAGACACATCATACCATTTCATCCACAGATATTTGAGAACATAGCTCTTTTTAAGCATAACCACAAATTTATTATCTCACCTAAAAAGATGAACATGAATTCTTTAAATTTGTCAAATACCCAGTCCATGTTCAAATTTCCTCCAGTCTTTCATTTTCTTAAAATACTTATTTGTTCTTTCATTGATTAAATCATGTGTATTAAAGTTTGTTTCTTTTCAAATCAGGATTCAAATCAGGTCCTCCCATTTGACAGCTTCCTCGCTCTCTGGAATAATGAGATGTGCCAGGCCTAGTCAGACCCTTCCTGTCCCCGAGCTGGAACCAGCCATTTCTCTGAGGAGTGCTGGGTTCGTTATGTGTGGTGGTGTTCCAAGACCGCCGTTGGGAATGCTCATTGTCTTTGCTTCAAGGCTTCCTCAGTGGACAGAGCTACTTCACATTTAGCACTCCTGGGAGATATACGTGGAAATATGAATGCTGATCATTCAAATTCAGGACCCTGAGGTTCTCATTTAACTGATACAGCTGTACCTCCTCTCCTCCACACTGAGGAACCTGGTTCTCATGGGCACAGGAGATGATAGCAGTATAATTTCCCATACTTACTCATTTTCTTTATCCCACAACACACACCTAGGACAGGCTCAGAAAAACAGTGTTAATACTATCATAATGCATATGATTACTGAAGACACTGGTGTCTGCCAGGCATCCTGAAACAACCTGATTAACTTCTGGGGCTGTTTTTATTTTATTTTTGCTTTGGTACAATACACATAGCACAAAATTTACCATCTTAACCATTTTTATTGTACAGTTCAGTGGTATTAAATACATTCATCACCACTATCTATCTTCATAACTCTTTTCATCTTGTAAAATTGAAACTCTGTACCCATTAAACAATAACTCCCATTCTTCATTCCCAGCCCCTAGCAACCACTCTTCTACTTTCTGTCTCTATGACTTTGACTACTCTAAGTATCTCATTTAAGTGAGATCATACAGTATTTGTCTTTTCGTGACTGTCTTATTTCATTTAGCATAATGTCCTTGAGTTCATTTTGTTTGTTTATTTGTCTTATTTGTTCATTTGTTGCTTTCTGTTTTGTATTTACATGTGAGTGAAGTCATACGGTTCTTGATTTTTTCCATCTGACTTACTTCGCTTAGCATGATGTTCTCAAGATCCATCCATGCTGTCGGAAACGGCAGTATTTCATCTTTTTGTATGGCTGGGTAGTACTCCATTATGTATATGTATAACATCTTTATCCAATCATCCATCAAAGGAATGGAAATTGGTACAGCCACTATGGAAAACAGCATGGAGGTTCCTAAAAAAAATTACGAATAGAGCACCATATGACCAGCTATCCCTCTTCTGGGTACCTACCCAAAAAATTTGAAAACATTTATTCATAAAGATATATGTATCTGTGTTCATTACAGCATTATTCATGCTGGCTAAGACATGGAAACAACCCAAGCGTCCTTTGATGATGCACTAAATTTTTATGAAGTTTAATTTATTTTTTCTTCTACCTTTGGTGTCATACTAAAGAATTTATTGACAAATCCAATGTGATGAAGCTTTTGTCTTGTTTTCTTCTTAGAGTTTTGCTGTTTTAGGTTTTATATTTATGTCTTTGATCCATTTTGAGTTAATTTTTATATATGGTTTCAGGTAAGGATTCACCTTTATTCTTTTGCATGCAGATATCCATTTTCCCAGTGCCGGTTTTCCCAATCTTTGAAAAGGTTGACCTAGGCCTGTATATTTTTGGTCCATACTGGTGGTGTAAATTCAAATCCCATACCCACATCATGCAGGCCTGGATTCAAAAATTACCAGGGAAGATTAGGTTTTTACCAATAGTGCACACTGAGACAGCTTCCTAGTTGTCTTTCATTGCCAACAAATTCTGTCGTCTTCACCTCTTCATTGGTAGCACTTGGAAAGTCCAGATTCATCCAGTGACTTCAGCAGAAGCCCACTGCCTTTTCTCCCATGACCCCTTGTGTTTATTAAAGCCAAAGATTCTAGCTTGTTTTACAGAGATTAGAAAATGCTCCTAGACCAATTGTGGCTTTAGAACTAATTTACTGCTCTGTCTTATTTTTTAAAATCTCTCTTGATTTTCAGACCCTGGAGATTTTCCTTACTTTGGTAAGGAAAATGGTATTGTTCAGCTATACAATTTAAAGGAATTCTCTTCTGTTTTATCCAGGATGTCTAGATATTTTACTTTAAGTCCTCTAAAACTATCAGAAATGAAAAATCTAGTTCATTTTTCTATTCTTTCTTGCTCAGTAGTGAAAACCCTTAAAGCTGTCTAATTTTGATTTCTGAAAATGGCTCTGGACAGATTCCGTGAAATTTTATTAATAGTGACCTATATGTTCATTTATTTAGGAGAATTTTAATTGCCACTGAATGGCATTTTTTGTTTAAATTGTGTCACTCATTTATATTTTTGTTGCACTGTGGTTTGATTTATGCAATCTGAAATATTTCCAGTTTTGTAAAGATTCTGTAGATGTTTGCAAATAATTTGTTATCGTTGTTTATATTCTAAAAAATGAAATGTAATATTTCTCTCCTATTCCTTAATTTAAACACGGGTTCCTTTCAGCCCTCCCCTAGAGTCCAGCCTCTTTTGCTTCCCATTGCAATTTTAGGAATTAATCATAGATGTGGGATATAATTTTATTTCTGACAATTTAGAACGTGTTTCTAAAACTCTGTTAATAATTAACTCTCCTCTTCTTCGTATACTTAGGTGGCCAAGACATTTTTATGACAGAAGAACAGAAGAAATACTATAATGCAATGAAAAAGTTAGGATCCAAAAAACCTCAAAAGCCTATTCCAAGACCTCTGGTAAGAGAAGTAATTGATTCTAAATACACAGCTCATTACGTGGTTATGAGGATCTCAGATGTCAACACTGCTGCTCTTCTTTAATTTTTAAAATTTACAGACTTTTTCCAAGAACAATAAAAACCCAGATGTACAGGTGTATGGCTCAAGTCCTTAGGAAAATTAGACACATAGTCAGTAGTAAGAGTCTGGGTAACAACTGTAGCTTTTTAGTGAGCACACAACAGGCACTTAGTATATACTCATTGCAGTGATGAGATGTTAGCAGACTTTTTTTTCCATTGAATTTATTGGGATAACATTGGTTCACAAAACCATCCAGGTTTTGAGTGTACAACTCAACACAACATCATCTGCACACTGCATCGTGCACCCATCCCCCCAAGCAAAGTCTCCTTCCGTTTCTATCTCCTCACCGCCTGTGCCCACCTCCACCTACCCCCACCCCCTTTCCCTCTGGCTGTCACCACACTGTTGTCTGTGTCTGTTAGCCAACCATTTTAATTTCACCTTGACTAGTTTAAAATGTATTTATAATATATTTTGTCAAATTTTTCTGCTGTGAAGTTGAGGCCATGCATACTCCCTTTCACTTCACAAATGTTTATGATAGACTTTCTGTGTCAGGCATTGGCAAACATTTCCTGTAAAAGGTCAGGCAGTAAATATTTTCGGCTTTGCAGGCCTTATGGTTTCGGCTGCTACTGCTCTCTCTGCCGTTGTGCCAGAAAAGCAGCCACAGACAGCACAGAACATATGTGCATGACTGTATTCCAGTACACCTTGATGTAGAGACACTGACACGTGGATTTCATATATGTTTCATATGTCAACACTTTATTCTTTTGAGGTTTTTCTCAAACATTTAAAAACATGAAATCCATTCTGAGCTCCCAGGTTATACAAAAAACAGGCAGTGGGCCAGATTTGGTCTATGGGCGTAGTTTGCTGATCCTGCTTTAACTGGTATGAAAGGGCTGCTCAGTGCTCACAGTTTAATTGAAGGGCTGGGATTTGAGAGCATTCGATGATAAAGTAATACAACAAGCACCGTTGGTAGCTCTGACAAGTGAGTTTGAAGACTTTCAAGGTGGAGAGGGTCAGCCGGGACAGCAGAATGGAAGAAGGGCTTGAGAATTGAAGTGTGTGGAGGATTTTGAGATTTTCATTTGAACATAGACCCCAAAGTATCAAAAGTGTGTTAAATTTACTGCTATTCCCAGAACTCAGAATAGAACCTGACATCAAGTGTGTCCTGTGTATGTGTGTGTGTGTGTGTGTATTTGCTTTTTATATTATATTATATTATATTATATCATATCATATTTATATTATATTTATTTATTGTCTAAAGTTTACATATGTCTCCTTTTCCCCCAAGTGACCACCTCCTGTATATGGCTTTTTTATTTGTTATTTCATCCTTACAACTCAAAGTGATCTATTTCTTTCTTTCTTTTTCTCTCTCAGAACAAATGCCAGGGTCTCGTATTTGACCTGGTCACAAACCAGTTCTTTGATGTCTTCATCATCATCTTCATTCTCCTCAACATGATTAGCATGATGGCTGAGTCATATGACCAGTCTAAGACCATGAAATCCATCCTTGAGAATCTCAACCTGGCCTTTGTGGTCATCTTCACAATTGAGTGTCTCATCAAAATCTTTGCTTTGAGGCAATACTACTTCACCAATGGCTGGAATTTATTTGATTGTTTGATCGTGGTCATTTCTATCGTTAGTAAGTAAAATCAGCAGCCAGAGGGGTGTGAATCTGAGAGCCAGGAGTAAATTGGTATTATTATTTGGAAGTATGTCCAAACTATCCATAAAGCAACAAATGAGGCTTAATGTGATTTCTGAAAACATAGGTGTGCTCATGCCACTCTTTACTGGGAAGTTGCTAGGTGATAGAGTAATTTCCATTCCCTCGACTGTCTACCCAATTGGAGTAGAGAGGTAAATAATAATGTAGGTTATTTAGTCAGTAGAGATAGACAAAATCAAGGTGACCTAAAAGTTTCTGTGGGGTTACCTGGTTAATCTTGGTAACTGAGTCTGAGTTCTACCTTCCCTGTGAAACTAACTATAAGCCCTAATGAACATTATATAACTTTAAGGATTTGGCATTTAATTTCCATATTTTTCTTTAGTTCAAAATCCATGTGATGTCAGATGACAATTATTATGCCCCTTGACATTGTCAGGCCTCCCCTCACCTCCTATGCAAGGCCTCTATGGCCCACCCTAGATTGGGCTTCCACAGGTGTGTCTGTGGCCAAGCAGTACTTCCTCTTTCCTCTGTATCGTATGTTAACTTAAACCACAGCATGAACTATGCTTGTCTCTACTGCTTGGACCCCATTCACCAGCTAGGGTCACTCTATAATCAGCTATTTTCCCTAACCACTGGCAGGATTAACTATAAGGTTTATGAAAGAAGAATGGGGTGGGGGAGAGGGTTATTGCCATATACCTTTATTCTTCATGCTTAACCATCGAGTTTACTCCGAGTTTTTGAAGTCTGCTTTTAACTAAACCAATAATTTGACTTGTTATAATTGTATAAAATTGCCAGGGCCCTTCTTATAGTTCAAAAAGCAGTGGAAGCAATAACAATGGATTTCACAGGTGGAAGCTTTTGTGCTATTTCAGAAAGAATGCATTAAACAGATATTTTGGATAAAAATATTTTGGTTCTTATCACTGCAGCAGTGCCACTTTTCAGAGGGCAAGTTCATAGGCTATTCTGGCTTCTAAGCCATGTAGATGAAGTGTACCAATAGATCCTTCCATGTACTTACAGTTACATAGATCTTTAATTTTTATTAGTCAGTTCCAATCATAAATCCTGATAAAATTGACAGAAGCAACTGTGTTAGAAAGTGGTGGTTGGATGATTCTGGGGCAGCCCTCTTGTAGCTGACAGAGCCCATTCTCCACGATGCAGAGAGCAGCTCGTTCACTCCACTCTACTGAACTCCTTCCAGGCGGTGCCAGGCATTGTACAGTTTGTGGAAACATCTCTGACTTCCGTTCCTTAAACAAATATTAGGCAATTGCAGTTACACTGCATAGCACTGGATAACATTTTGTTGTAGTGGTTGAGGAAATATGCACATTGAGCCAAATCCTGCTTACAAAAGGCAGCATTTTTTATTCCTTTGCCAGTAGGTCTGCCATTCAATTCTTAGCCTCTACAGTTTCTCAAGCTCTTTCCTAAGCTTTTAGAGAAATATACAATGAGAGTGAGCCACAGTGAGTCTCTCTCTAGGAGATAACAAGCCAGTTGTTAAGACCTACTCACCTTAAAGCAGTGGTTCTCAACCTTCCTAATGCCGCGACCCTTTAATACAGTTCCTCATGTTATGGTGACCCCCAATTTCATTGTTACAAATTGAACATAATTAAAACATAGTGATTAATCACAAAAACAATATGTAATTATATATGTGTTTTCCAATGGTCTTAGGTGACCCCTGTGAAAGGGTTGTATGACCCACAGGTTGAGAACCGCTGCCTTAAAGAGTCAGAATCAGAGAAATTAATCGAACACCAAAGTACATGGTACACAGATGATTGATCTCAGAGATGGGAAAGATTACTGTGGACTTGATTACTTAAAGAACTTTTCCTGGAGGAGGTGGGCCTTAAAGGATGGACCTCCTCCAGTGGTTGCTAAATTGGTACTTGATGAATTCCACATCTCACCAGGGTTGGCTGCCCAACTAACATGTGAATTAAACTTCTTGGGCACAATTGGGCAGTCAGTGAAACATGTCATCAATTAGCTCATTTAGTGAGTAGGCGATGGCAGATAGTTTTGGCTGCCTATCACCCTGAAGGACCTTAGAGGGCCACCATAGCAAGGCCATGTCTACACGTTCCAACCATTCTATAATATCGGGGCCAAAATGTGAGTTGTCTTAAATCTTTGTTTCACTTGCCCACAGAGTAGGCAGTGAGAGAAGAGAGTGACATTTTAGGCAGTTTTCAGAAACCTCTGCTTGAGACGCCATTTCTGAGTGTCTACCACAACAAAGAAAGTATCTCTAATTTAGTCCCTGAAATTTTTTGAGTTTGGACTCAGGAGTCCTTAGAATTAACATATTAACAAATATGAGAGATCCATGGCAGCTTTAGCCCAAAGATGAGCATCCTGACACTACCATCTCATGACCATACCTATGGCAAGCTGTGCTCAAATTCCTCTATACCCGTGGTTGGCAAACTGTGGCTCGCAAGCCACATGCGGCTTTTTGCCCCCTTGAGTGTGGCTCTTCCTAAGCCTTAGGAGTACCCTAATTAAGTTAATAACAATGTACCTACCTATATAGTTTCAGTTTAAAAAATTTGGCTCTCTAAAGAAATTTCAATCATCGTACTGTTGATATTTGGCTCTGTTGACTAATGAGTTTGCCGACCACTGCTCTATACAAATAAGATTCTGTTTCTTTAAGGAATTTTGAGGTTAGGTTTCCCACAATTTCTACTGATAACTCAGGCTCAAGCCAACCTTCATTAGCAGAAATTTCTCTTTATACTCTAATCTAAAAAACTCCATCTATAGTTCATGTTTTCCACTCTATACATCCAATAAATGTGGAAAACTATTATACTATTACCCCACAAATGACTTTAAATGCCCAACATAGATAATATATTTCAAGTTCATGAGATAACTCACAAAATAGCCTTTCATAAGCTACATTTTCTTTCCTTTCCTCGAGTCTTTAGTATTTTAGACATCCTATCCCATCTAAGGTCCCACCTAAAACTGTATGGCCCGTGGAAATTATTTTCCAAGTTAAGGTACAGATAGATATTTCCCCTTATATGGGTAAAGAAAATTCTTAATTTTGTGCATAAATTAAAAGGTATTGATAAAAGTCAGTCCCACTAAGATTCCAAGGCAGGCGAGACAGCCTGGTCTGAAACGAGGCCTGCTAGAGACGGACTGACTCTTCTCCTCCTCAGGTACCATGATTTCTCTCTTGGAACACCAGGAGCACATTCCTTTCCCTCCGACACTCTTCAGAATTGTCCGCTTGGCTCGGATCGGCAGGATCCTGAGGCTTGTCCGGGCGGCACGAGGAATCAGGACTCTCCTTTTTGCTCTGATGATGTCCCTTCCCTCTCTGTTCAACATCGGTCTTCTACTCTTTCTGGTTATGTTTATTTATGCCATTTTTGGAATGAACTCTTTCTGTAGAGTGAAGCAAGAGTCTGGAATTGATGACATATTCAACTTCGAAACGTTTGCAGGCAGCTTGCTCTGTCTCTTCCAAATCACCACCTCAGCTGGTTGGGACACCCTCCTCAACCCCATGTTGAAATCTGAAGCTTCATGTGACTCCAAGAAAGAGAACTGTCACCTCTCTACCATAGCCATAGCCTACTTTGTCAGTTACATCATCATCTCCTTTCTCATTGTTGTCAACATGTACATTGCTGTGATTTTAGAGAACTTCAATACAGCCACTGAAGAAAGTGAGGACCCTTTGGGTGAAGATGACTTTGAAATGTTCTACGAAGTCTGGGAAAAGTTTGACCCAGAAGCCACACAGTTTATCAAATATTCTGCCCTTTCTGACTTTGCCGATGCCCTTCCTGAGCCTTTGCGTGTGGCAAAGCCAAATAAATTCCAGTTCCTAGTAATGGACTTGCCCATGGTAAGTGGAGATCGCCTCCACTGCCTGGACATTCTCTTCGCGTTCACCACAAGGGTACTCGGTGACTCCACTGGCCTGGACAGCATGAAAGCGATGATGGAGGAGAAGTTCATGGAAGCCAACCCTCTGAAGAAGTTATACGAACCCATAGTCACCACCACCAAGAGGACGGAAGAGGAGCGATGCGCTGCTGTCATTCAAAAGGCCTTTCGAAAGTACATAGTGATGGTGAAGACGAACAAGTGTGCCTTGGAAGACAGGCCTCGTTCACCTCTCCAGACACTCTGCAATGGAGACTTGTCTAGCTCCGGGGTGGCCGAGGGCAAGGTCCACTGTGACTGAGCCCCTCACTGCCACCCCTACCTTACAGCCTCACAGTCTGTGAGCACCAGGGACCCACAGCCCCGTGTGTGAGCAAACAGTGGACTCATAGTTATTCCATTTTCTTGGATAAAAGAAGTGCTATTTCAGGGTTCACTTCAAATGGTTGCTACCATTTGAAAGTGCTATAAGATGAGGCTGCCTGACTGTAACCACTGGTACTGTTTTAACTAGAAAGGGCTGTAGAGGACACATTAATGTTAGGATTGAAACACAGTTCGAATTATGTCAAAACAAAAGAATAAAAAAGAAGCAAAAAACATTAAAATTTTTAATTGTTTTTCCATATGTTTTGAGGTACATTATCTAATATCTGCGTTTAATGTTTTCCCCAATGCAAGTATGGGGCTTATCACATAGAGCTCTTTTGCATGCTAAGTGAAAATTCAAAACCTGCCAATAAAAATAATAGCTCACTGAAGATATTTTTACTAACATTAGATATTTGGAGTTTATTTCAAACACAAAAGCATGATCTTGACTTGTCAATTACCACCATATCTTTCACCAGCTGCAATCTCTGTTATATATATTTGGATAAATAAACAAACAAACAAATGAGGCTTTCATTTTGCATTTTATTCAGAAAGTACATTAAAGAGCCTATTGTTCAGTGGTTGTGTAAGCAATGGTTTAAATGTGGTGCTTTGCTTGGAATTAAAGGTAGAAACAAAGGGTGAGGGTGAAGGCAGGTTTGGGGGATTGGCGGGGGGGGGGGGGGCAATGGGATAACCACACATTTGTAATACCTTAATCAATAAAAAATAATAAATAAGCAGTTCACTAAAAAATAAAAAAAATTAAAGGTGGAAACAAGTGGTATACTGATAAGGGTCTAACAGTTGGCTCTTCAGGAGAAAAAAAACAAAAACAAAAAGCCAGGATTTGTAGTATTTGCTGATCTCTGTGGCAAATACCTCCATCCTGGCTGATTTCAAGCTACTGACATCATGTCTCTGCAGATGGAGTTGGGAAGAAGTGTCCAGCATCTGGTCTCACAGGCTGGCCCGAGCTGCTCCAGCACATTGGAACCAATGAGAAAGGCTCCTGTGACTTTGGTAACAAATATGCAGTGGGCCCCTTCGGTGGAGAGAGCACCTCTCAGCAGCAGGACGCCAGGGCGCAGACGCCATGGGACATGGTGGTTAGCTGGTGGCCTTCGCCACCTGATGGACCCTACACTTAGCTCTGGCTGAATGTCTGCTTGAAAAGCAGCCCAGAGAACAACCCAGGCCCAGCAAGAGGGCCTGGCCCAGGGGTAGCTCAGGACCTCCCTGAAAACCGGAGACACCCCGAGGCCAACAAGACATTAGGCCGGCAGCTCCCAGAACCTGGACTGGGGGCAAAGAACCTACATTGTGATCATCTAAGTGTGGAGGGAACCCCTGCAGAAATATCCCTGGAGCCCTGTACCTCACACAGCCTGGAGGAGCTGATGTTTCTACCGGAAGCCTGGGGTCTGAGGGTTGAGCCTCTGTCCCATGGAGGGAAGGCCAGTGCCGGACGCTGTGGCACACCGAGGGGCGATCATTTTCAATGCGTGCAAGATCTCACCATGACACAGTGTATTCCTGGGCCTGGGTTTCCTGAGTTTTGTAGGCAGCCTTGTGTTCCAGAGCGTTGGCAAAACCAATAATCGCATTATCTAATCATGGTCAATATCTAATTTTTATACTTAGTGGCTGCTGTGCACCAGGCACTGGCTAAGCATTTGTCATGAGTAATCTCATTTGACCATCACAATAACCCGGGGAGTGTGCGGTCACTCCCTGGTGGAGCCTGAGCTTTTGTGCTGTGCTGGGAAGGGGGAGGGGTGTCCCAGAAGCAGTAAACCTTTGAGGCACGGCCACAGGCCCCTCATGAAGGGCTACGGGGCCGTGGAAATCACCGTTCTAATGTGGCCAGTTCTGCCTGCAGCATTGGGGATGGCCTATGTCAGGGGTCCTCAAACTTTTTAAACAGGGGCCAGTTCACTGTCCCTCAGACAGTTGGAGGGCCGGACTATAGTTAAAAAAAAAAAAACAACTATAAACAAATTCCTATGCACACTGCACATATCTTATTTTGAAGTAAAAAAACAAACGGGAACAAATACAATATTTGTATTTGCATGTGGCCCACGGGCCGTAGTTTGAGGAGCCCTGGCCTATGTATTCCATAAGAGCTGCCTCAGATTACGAACTCTGGGTGTCTTACAGATCCCTACCAAGTTATCTGAAAGAGATGGCTGGCCATCGTTCCAACAGGGATACCTCCTGGGTGGAGGCAGGGGGGGATCTGGGAAGGTACGGTCTTGCCCATTCAGATAACAATTTAGGGGCTTAGATATGATCTGTTCTGGGCAGAAGCTTTGGCCCTTCCCACAGACAGCTGTTTACCCTCAGATGTCGCCTTTGGCCATGGCTGGATTCCTGGAGCCAGCTCCTGGCGAGAGCACAGGGTCTGCTTGGCTTTTGCGAGAGGCTGAGCCATGCTTTGTTCACTAGAGGGCAGCAAATGCCTGACCATGAGCCTGGCGGTCAAAGAGCCCGAGCAAGGGGACAGGAAATGTGAGTTATCCAAACCCTGGATGGGTGCTAGAAAGTGCATACTCCCCAAAGGTAGCTCTCACTGTGCTGGGACCCAGGATGCCCCCAGGAGGCAGAGAGGCTGGGCTGAGCTCTGCCCTGCAGGGCCCTGCAAACCCCTACAGCCCCTGAAGCCAGCCTCTTCCCTGAGTCTGCTCTTCTCCAGGCACATCAGCCCCTGCTCATCCAATCAACAGACGTGCCTGAGGGCCATGTGGTACCACCTTGTGTAAACTGCTTCTCACTTCTGGTCCTTAACCTCAAGTGCGTCTATGCTAATGGGGGACTTAGACAAGGGTTCATGGGATGATAATACAATGCAGTATGACCAGTGCCATCAACCACGGACAGGGCTCTGCTCTGAGAGTGTGAAGGAGGCAGGCTCATGGGGGCACCAGAGAGAGGGGCATCAATATGAGCTCAGTAGATGTGGGGGACTGTGATGGGGAGGGGTTTGGGGGCGTGTCTGAAGTGGAGGAGACAGTGCAGGGTGGAAGGAGTGTAGAACGTGAAGGAAGTGCAGCTGCAGAGTATGGACAGGGGACCAGCAGAGCTGAGTCTTAGCTTAGCCATGGACTGTTTCATGGAGAGCCTGAACAGCCGGCGAGGAGTTACAACAGATTGAGGTACCAGGGGGGCACTGACGGTGTTTGGGCGGGGGAGGAAAATCAGACAGACAGAATATCAGGGCAGAGCAGAGGAGAGACCAGAACCCTGATCCCAGTGGGGAAGAGGCTGAGTGAGGAGGGAGGCAGGGGCACTGCTGTGACTAGATGCGTGTGCCCAATGACTGGCCTGGGGGTAGGAGTCCAGGGGGAACCTTTATTTTCAAGGGAAAATTAATTCATTTTGAAGGTTTAACCCGTTAACTGCCACGATATTTTGAATTTGATTAAAAAGGCCCGCCGCTTACGGCTGTAGATGCTTATGGCGTACAAATGGTTCATATGCCAGGTCCGCATGACAATGTCCAACCAGGCCTGGAACCTGAGGACAAGGCATGGACAGGAGTCCTGAACACAAGAAACCGCCAGCAGCAGATAAAATCAAGGCGAAGCAAGCATAGCCAGGCCTAGAAGGCGGCAGAGGGCTCATCCTGTGGGCACACTCTCAGGGACCACAGATGAGGAGAGAGACAGTTCAAAGGCGGGTGTGGGGAGGTAGGTGAAGGTAAACACCACACCGTGCAGTGTGGGCACAGAGCAGGCTTCACTAGAAATTCACAGCCAACAAGATGAGGTCAGGGTCCCCCCTTTTCATCCCTTCCCCCAAGAAGCGTGCAAGCAACCTGGGCACAGCAGGCCACGTTCCAGGAAAATTCCCACTCTCTCTTCCTCCGCTTCTTTATGGAGTCAGCACGGGAGCTTGCCTCATAAACAACCGGGCTCAGGAGGCAGCTGCTCCCCGCCTCCTCCCCCCTTAACCCGCCCCCCCGCCCCCCTCCCACTGGAGCTGTCCTGGAATGTCAGCTACCATTGACCAGTGCCCTTAAGGAAGTTGAAATCCTGTACAGCTCCTCTGGCTCAAGGAGGGGGAGCCACTGGTCCCAGATAGCTTGTTGCCTGGCAACCCAGGTAGAAACTCCAGGGTCATTCAGTGGGCAGTCCTGTTCCTCACTGCACAAGCAGTAATCAGAGAGGCGCGAGAACACAGGGCGAACATTTACTGAGCGCTTACTCTGGGCTCGGTGGCCACTTTACCGGTATTGCCGCCTTTCATTTCCACAACAGCTCTATTTTGAAGAAAGACCAACTATGCTTAATCTCCACTATTCTGATGAGAACGCTGAGGCATGTAGTGGGAACCGGAGGCTTGTCCAAGGCCACACAGCCAACCAATGGCCCTGACAAGACTCGAACTCAAGTCGTCTAGCTTCGGCGCTCAAGCTATGCACCACTGCACCACACTGCTCACAGGCAGTTGAGGTTGGAGAGAGGGTACAGAGTTTTCCTGGTTTTCTCTGCAAACCTTTCACCACCCATTTCTTCTCCTCTGGAGGTAATGCATTTATTTCCTCAAAGTTCTGACTTTGTGGAAACTTCCTCTGCCTGGGGAGATGCTGTGCTCTGTCTCCAAATTTAACGTCTGTTCTGTCGACGTACTCACTTCCCCAATAGTTTGACGTAGCTTCTGTTCTTTGACCATTCTCTCCTTCCTCCAGGCAAACTCTGGTTCATGTTTCTCCTCTAGCACCTGGTGCCCAGGGGACTGGAGGGGCTACCTCTCCTTTCAGACAATATACGTCCATTAATGTAGACATCAAACATGCTAGTCTGACACAGGTGGTTCCAAGAGGTATCATGAGGGAGCTGATTTAGTTTCCCTTCATCTCCACCAGTCCCCCAACCCAAGTCACCCCGGACAAGCACAGTCTAACTAAGAGCACTGTATGCTGTGCCTGTGCAGCTTCAAGCCCCTCCCTCCTTCCCTTCCCCTCCAGCGGTTCTCAACCTGTGGGTCGCGAACAATGAAAATACATCCTGTACATCCTGCATATAAGGTATTTACATTACGATTCATAACAGTAGCAAAATTACAGTTATGAAGTAGCAACGAAAATAATTTTATGGTTGGGTCACAACATGAGGAACTGTATTAAAGGATCGTGGCATTAGGAAGGTTGAGAATCACTGCGAGTAAGCTCTTTCCATATTTTAAAATCACTTCTGGAGCCAAGTCACACTGATGGCTCATACTCTACTTTTCCCCAGCTTTATGGAGGTATCATTGACAAATAAAAATTGTATATGTATAGGGTGCGCAATGTAATGGTTTGATATCCATATACATTGTGAAATAAGTATGGCAATCATGTCAGTCCACACATCCACTGTGTCCCATAGTTTGTTTGGGTTTTGGTGTGCTGAGAAAACTTAAGCTCTACTCTCTTTGCAAATTTCTAGTATACAATACAGTATTAATTAGGATCACTGTACTGCACATTAGACCCCCAGAACGTCTGT